TGTTTCGCGTGACAATTTGCACTTTACAGCTAATCCAATTACTGGTGAGTCTATCAAGCATAGGGTAGAAATCGGTACGGTATCGGTATCCCAATACCAAATACCGAAATCCCGAATACCAAATTACACCCTAAAATCAATCCCAATCCCAATCCCTAAATAATTTCGGTATCCCAATCCCAATCCCTAAATAATTTCGGTATCCCAATCGGTATCTCGGTATCCCAATCGGTATTAACGAATACATAATTAATTACCTTTACAATTAATAATTAAATATATAAATTATATTTTATTGTTTAATTTAGGGCAAAGAGACTAAGCAAATAGTCTTGAGTTGCCTAGAGCTAACATCTCAAATTCTTGTAATTGGTAATCTTTAATTTGACGAATTTGAGGTTGAGAGACGACTAATACTAGTGTGAATAGTGATGTAATGATCTATGTATAATTAAATGATGAATTTGGTGGTTGATGGTCGCGTAGTAGTGAATGAGAGAGTCTAGTTGAGAGGATTAAATACACACTAGCTTATATTTCGGCATTGATCGGTATTTCGGTATATATACCGATCCCAATCTCGTAATCCCTAATACCAAATAACAATTGAAATTCAATCCCAATCCCAATCCCACAAAATAAAACGTGTATTCGGTAATACCAAATATAGACAAATTCGGTACGGTATTCGATATATCCCAAATACCGGTACCAAACTTCCAGCCTAATCAAGCATGTGGAAGTGAACCGCTACTATGTTTGTGGGATAAAGCACACTTCTTACTCTTCTTTGGTTTGAGATGGAAATGGAGGATAAGTGACCATAGCTAGATGGGCTTTTACTGGGATGGAAGCGAGGACCTGGTCAAAGAAGCCTAACTTTATGATGGGTTCAGGCCCGCTAAGCATTTTGTGCAGTGAGGGCCCAACATTTTCAGAGCACTAAGTGGGCCATTGTGGTTGTTGGTTCAGCCTAGAATTGATTGGTCCAGCCGGAAATTTGACCATTTCTCCTGCGCCCTGGATCAATGGAACGAACTGCCACTTGAATTCTGACCCCGCCGTCAAGTTGTGGATCCCGAGGTCATCGTCCGCCGACTTGCAGTGGACCAACAACACCTTCCCGCCGGTCAGCTCGCTGGAAACGGAGACATGTTGGTACGACAACAAGCCGCCGCCGCCGCCGTTAGAGGATACTCTTACGGCAGAGGAGGAGGCGGTCAAGATTAACAGGACCGCGATCAAGAAGCACCCGATCATGATTTATTTGTATGGTAATTAACCACTTTCTTCACCGTTGTTAATTTAGGGTCTTGCTCATGGTTTGGAATGTCGAATAAAGGGGTGTTTATATAGATGGTAATGTGAGGTGAAAAGCGGTAATAACTCAATTTTTTGGGGATATAAGTGGGTTTTCATGTTGTTTGGAAACTATGTTAACATAATTGCTTATGTTAACCAACTAGATTTGAAATGTCAGGTAATTAATTAGTACGTTGCAATTTTTATGGGTGTTTGACTTTGAGTACATAAGCATTAAATTAGAGCAGACTTTTTTTATGATTTTATTCGTCACATTAAGACAAAAAACTAATCAAAGAAAATTTGTAACACTTGAGCCAAATCCGACGACAATAAAGTTGAGCGATATGTAATTAGGGGTGGCAATAAAACCCGAACTCACGGGTACCCATCCGACGTAACCCGGTCAACGCGGGTAAAATTCGTGTTGACGGGTTTTGGGCCGGGTTCGGGTTTAAATCCGTTCACTATTCACCGGGCTGGGTTGGTTTTGGGTTTAGGTAAAGCCGCCTCATGGGTACCCTTCCACACCCATATAATTAATTTTCTCGGTATATTTAATATTCTAAACAACTAATCTTATTTATGTTTGTGGAGACATGTCTAATTTTTTTCTTTATAATTGCGTAGAATAAAGTTGATGTTATCGAGTGGAGAGTGAAGAAACTTAATTGACAAGGAGGAAGAAACTTTCAATTAATCATGTTGTTTATGGATAATTTGTGATTTGCTTCAATTTTCTTGAGTTTTCTAGATTGGTGTTGAACAATCTGTATAGTTAATTTGTGATTTGCTTGAATTTTCTAGAATGGTGTTTTATATATGGATAATTTGTATTGAGAGATTGATATTTGACTTTAATAACATGACTCTTGTTTCTTGTTTGTGTTCTTGTTTTATGTTTGTTTCTTGTTTATATTTGTTAATAATATATTCCCATAAAAAAAAACTCGAAGTTTAATTAGCAGTCATTGTTTGCTCGGAAAGAGGGCATTTTTGGTTCAAATAGTAGGAATTTCTTATATACCCAGCATGAAATTATAAGTGGTTGACAAAATTGCGTGATTAGTCAATTTTTTTTTGAGAGAACGTTATTAGTCAATTGAAATTATGTGATTACGAGAAAAAAATTGGCATACTGATAGATGAGATTGATGAAAAAAATACTTTCATTTAGTGACTTAATTATTAATTAATTAATTACACAAAAATTCTAGTTGGTTTAATCTTCACTCACATTCACGGTGTCACGTTAAGTAATATGCAGTAGGGGTGGGCATTGGGTGGGTCGGGTGGATTTTGACCATAAAATGCACCCACCCGCGCTTAAACGGATTGATAATTTTTAACCCACCACCCACCCACGTTTAGTCTCGGGTTGGGTCGGGCGGATGGTGGATGATGCGGGTGGGTTTGTGGGTTCACCCACATCACAATGTATATAATATAAAGGAGTCAACTTGACATGATAATAGGTGAAGAGAATCATCGAGGGAAACAAGAAATTGAAATAGGGCGAAAAATGTCGAATTAGTTCTTAAATTGGATAGAAATTCTATTATGAAAGAGTTTTCTACAGATTGAGACGATTATTAGGTGCAAGGAACTAAGGAAAATAATTTCACAAAGGAAAGAGCGGTGATCTAGGCACAAGAATTAGAGGAAAAAATAAAGGGAAGAAGAGGGAATCTCTATTTGGAAGGTTGGCTTTGAGGTTCAAACTCCAGGAGCAGTCCGAGTTTATATCTAACGTCTCCACTCTCCTCTCTCTAGCGCCAACGACTTTGATCTTTTTGCTGTTGGGTTGAGCGGGTCACCCGCACACTCACCCACAACCCACCCACCACCCGACGGATGGCTCCCAGCGCAACTCGTCACCCACCCACAGACCCACCCACTTAACAAAATTCGGGTCAAATGCGGGTGGGTCGGCCCAAATCCGCGGATGATCCGCCCGCATGCCCAGCCCTAATATGCAGTGAGTTGTCCATTCCTCAAAATGGACTCCAGGTTAGGGGCCGGGATCAGGTGACTAAGGGGGTCCCCTTAGTCATATGGCTAAGTGAATCTCAGCCACACAACTTCATTAAAATCCAAGGGTTCCTATTAATCCAATTTAATGAAGGGCAATGTAGTAATTGCATGTTTATTTTTTATATTTAATTATAAAATGAATAAAAAAAATTAAACAGCGCCGGCCGCAACCTCCCGTCTCCGTCCGGTTGTTCGGCGGTGGCTCCCCTGGGCAGGAGAGTTTCCCCACCTCTCTCATGCGCCATTATTTCTCTAATTATTCCCAGAGGGAGGAGGGAGGGAGGGAGGGAGGGAGGAGGGAGGGAGAGAGAGAGAGAGAGAGAGAGAGAGAGAGAGAGAGAGAGAGAGAGAGAGAGAGAGAGAGAGAGAGAGAGAGAGAGAGAGAGAGAGAGAGAGAGAGAGAGAGAGAGAGAGAGAGAGAGAGAGAGAGAGAGAGATTTTCTGGTCGGAAAATTTTTTCCGGCGAACATACTCGTCGGAGAAGAATTTCCCGGCGACGGTGCTGATTTTGTGATGTTTGTTGACATATTTTGTAATGTTTGTATGTTTTGTTATTTTGTAATGTTTGTCGTTTTTTTTTTGTAATGTTTGTAAACTTTGTTATTTTTGTGCACCATGTTTGTAAACTTTGTCATTTTTGTGCACCATGTTCGTAATGTTTTTTATGTCTAAAAAACACCCGGGTTGACTTTGGGAAGGAGCCCCTCTATATAGGGATGGAGCCTCCAAAGTCAACCCGGGTGTTTTTTCCCGTTCGTATGGATTGTCGGTCTAGTTTGTCATTTTTGTCCATCATGTTCGTACTGTTTGTATGTCTAAAAAACACCCGGGTTGACTTTGGGAAGGAGCCCCTCTATATAGGGATGGAGCCTCAAAAGTCAACCCGGTTGTTTTTTCTTTTTGTATGGTTTGTATTGTTTGTCGGTCTAGTTTGTATTGTTTGTACAGTTCATACGTTTGTAATGTTTGTAAATCTGTTTGTATGTTTTGTCGCTCTAGTTTGTACTGTTCGTATGTTTGTATGGTTTGTACAGATTGTAAATCCGGTTTGTATACTTCGTAATTTTCCATAATACCCAAACTACCCCTGTCATTAATTAAATAGCCCTTCCCACTTTTTAACCATTGGATTGAAGTGTCCAGATCTAATGGCTAGGAGGGACTTAGCCAAGTGACTAAGCACCCCCCCTTAGTCACCAGATCCGCTCTCCAGGTTAGGTTCTCGTAAGTCGTAACACAACCTTTTCTTTATGTATGGATTTTTATATTTTTTTTTTCATCTAGTTCCTGAGAAATAGATATTGGATAACATTATATTCAGTGGGTCGAATCCAAATGTTGATTTAATTCAATTTGATAGTTTTTTTTTTTTTTGTCAAAAAATTCAATTTGATAGTTTGCAGACCTAGAATAGTGTCAATAATTTGAGTCATGGAAAGAAACTTGTTAATCACCTAGTGTTAACTCACAAACGGAGCAAACTGAGAGTTTGAATTAGGATTTGGAATAGAGGCTGGGTTATGTGTCAGATCAACCCTTATACTTTGTCTCAGCTAACAAATAGTCCCCAAAATTATTTGTTTTGCTTAGCTCTCACTTAACGGTTACACCAATGAAATTTGACAAATACACCCTTCCGCAGTTTTAGTTTTTGCCCCATGTAAAGTTCGTTACTTAGTGGCGGTCCCAGGCCACCGCATCGATTTTCATCCGCCAACGCAAGTGGACTTCGCCGTCGCTCAAGTCGTCGGCGCCGGCACAGATGCCACACCAGTCGTGGGCTCGTGGCCTCTTTGCCCTTTTCTGAAGACAGAAATGTCTTCCCTTTTATCCCTTCCGGTTTCCAATTCGCGAAGAGTATTCCAGACGCTACTTTCCGATTCTCCCTTCACGTTGTCCGATTTGCGATTCCATTCGCTGCTGCTGAAAGAACGGATTTGCAGTCAGTGTCGAGTTTAACGCCGCTGCTGGGGAATGAAGGTAAGGAGATTTTTTATGGGAACGTGGCTATAGTTTTTGGATGAGTGTGTTTATTGGACTAGGTTGCCTGCCATCTGTTTGTGGAAATGTCGCAATGGAACACAATGCTAGAATCGAGAAGAATTATGAGTTATGCTATTTATTCACTTCAGGGATTTAGTTTAGTGATAGGATTGTGTTAGTAGGATGACGAGACCAACCACAATTTTGTTTTCACACTTGGGTGTTATTTATTGCCTACTAGGATTAGTTACTACTTACTAGTCTTTGTGTTCTTCATCATCCCTGTAGAATCTTCTTGATCATCGGTATCATATCATTTCATGAGTTTCTCCTTTTCTCATAATTGTTGCTAAGTGGTTTCCAGACTTCGATATTGGATCAATTCCAGTATCTTTCCTTTTGACGTTAATTTCTCTGCTTACTTATGTCAAAAAACTAATGATAGATTTTTCCTTCTAAGCTAAAAACAAGAATTTGACTGGAGACAGTGATTCATTCAATTGGAAACTCAGAATTGTGTTATATTATTGATAATGATAGCCTTTTCTAGTGGGAACTCAGATGATGATACTTTTTCCCTTAGCTAAAAGCAAGAATTTGGTGAAGACGGTGGCTCATTCTATTGGGAACTCAGGATAATTTATCAATTAAAAAGTCACAGGAAAGCAGGAATAATGTACCTTCGAAAGAGTTAAGATACAATGCGTTCTGTTATTAGCAACGCTTGTATGTGGTATATTTGCTGTGAATTTGAGCCTTCACAACTACCGACCCTTAACTCAATGGCTGCTGTTGCAGCTCTTCTTGTTTGCTTGGCCTGGATGTTCTTTGTCCATGGGACTTCTTGTGAAGGCTGTGGTCAAGATGAAAGAGAAGCCCTTTTCAAGTTGAAGGCAGATCTTGAAGACCCTTCAAGCTTTCTATCATCTTGGGTTGGTCAAAGGGATTGTTGTACATGGTCCCGAGTCGTCTGTGATAATTTTACTGGCCATGTCACTGAGCTCCATCTCGGATGGCCTTCTTTGAGGGACGACTCTGTGTTCACTGGTAAGCTAAATCCTTCATTGCTTCAGTTGAAGTATCTCAGTTATTTGGACTTGTCAAACAATAATTTCCATGGGATTCCCATTCCAAGTTTTCTTGGCTCTATGAGTACTTTAAAGCACCTCTTCCTTGATGGATCTGGATTTGGAGGGGTCATTCCTCATTCAACTGGGAAACCTCTCAAATCTGCATCAACTTGGCCTGCAGGCTGCTAAAGATTATGTGTTATCTGCTGATTGTTTGAAGTGGCTTTCTGGTCTGTCTTTACTAGAATACCTTGATTTGAGTGATGTCGATCTTAGTGGTGCTTCTGACTGGTTGAGCATGATAAACACACTCCCATCTATTTCAGAACTGTATCTATCAAACTGTCGAATCCATCATATCCCTACCCTCAAGAATGTTAACATGTCTTTGTTGTATGCTCTTAGTTTGTATCACAATCAGTTTGATCAAACTTCAGTTCCTAGTTGGATTTTTCATCTTCAGAGCCTTACTTACTTGAATCTAGGATACAACTCTTTTGGTGGACCGATTCCTGACCAACTTCAAAATCTTACTTCTCTGAAGACCCTTCGCTTGTCCTCCAATCAATTCTATCATTCAGTACCAAACTGGTTGTATAGATTACGTTATCTTGAGACACTCAATCTATCTGGTAATCAGTTGGATGGTAAAGTCTCAACTGCTGGCATTGGAAACTTGTCTTCTCTTGTTGACCTTGACTTGTCAGTCAATCATGGCCTCAAATTTGAGAGGGGAATTCCAGAGTCGTTCAAAAGCTTCTGTCGTTTGAGATCGCTTTCTCTGCAAAATGTAATCTTAAATCAAAATATATCAGAGTTGCTTGAAATCCTTGGAGAATGTGCTTCTGATACTTTACAGATATTGTTGTTGTTTAATTGCCAACTGACTGGTCAGTTGACTGATCGGATCGGAAATTTCAAGAGACTTAACCGTCTCACTCTTGGAAATAATTTCATTTCTGGTTCACTTCCAATGTCGTTAGGAGAAATGACATCCTTAGACTATGTAAACCTTGCAAGAAACAATATCAGTGGGACAATTCCAACAAGTTTTGGGGCATTGGCACAGCTGAGTTATATGGATATCTCTCAGAACTCATTGCATGGTGTTGTTTACCCTGAAATTCACTTTGCCAACATGAGAAAGCTGACATGCTTTTATGCATCTGGAAACAAGATGGTGCTGAAAGCTAAACCAGATTGGGTTCCTTCAATGGTGCTTGAAGAATTGGACCTAGAATCCTGGTATGTTGGACCTGGTTTTCCCAATTGGCTCCAGTATTTGCAGCATCTCAAGTCTCTTGATCTATCAAACTCTGGAATTTCAGAACCCATTCCTGGCTGGTTCTGGAGCATATCATCTCAGTACTACTATTTGAATTTCTCACACAACCAAATCCCTGGAAGGCTCCCACATGTCGTACCTATAGTTATCACTATATCATATTTTGATTTCAGCTTCAATTGCTTGGAAGGTCCAGTGCCTGCTATCTCATCCAACTTGACATTTCTGGACCTCTCCAACAATCTGCTTTCAGGAAACTTGTTCAAGTTTTTGTGTTTCAACCCCAGTGAGATGAGGGCTACAGAATTTTTGAGCTTATATGGTAATAATTTGACTGGTGAGATACCAGATTGTTGGAAGACTTGGCCGAGCTTATCGAGCATAAGGCTGGGAGGAAACAAGCTCAGTGGCAAGATCCCAAAGTCCCTTGGATATGTAAGTTCCCTCAAATCCTTGCGCCTTCAGGACAATAGGCTGTCTGGTGAAATTCCACAATCCCTCGAAAACTGCTCCAGGTTAGTCATAGTTGACTTGAGTGATAATGGATTGGAGGGGAAGATTCCGAAATGGATGGGACAAAGCCTTTCAAGATTGTCCATTCTTAGTTTACGCAAGAATAAGTTCCATGGAAGCATACCTAAGGAGATCTGTGACCTGCAATCCTTACAGATCTTGGATCTTTCTCTCAACTCTCTCTCTGGGGCCTTGCCAGAATGTGTTGCTAATCTCAGTGCCATGGCTACTCCAAACAATAATACTTTAGGGGTCATTGCAGTCTATGGTGTTCAGGGGCAATCATTGTTGGATACTCAGATTCTGGTGACAAAAGGGCAGTTGTTGGACTACAGCACCATACTCAACTATGTCAGGAGTTTTGACCTCTCTTGGAATGACTTGTCAGGACAGATCCCCAACGAGATCTTTAGCCTGGCAGCCCTTAAATATCTCAACTTGTCACATAACTCATTCTCTGGTGCAATTCCGGAGGATCTGACCGCAATGCTCTCTCTTGAATCCATGGATCTATCGATGAACCTGCTGTCCAGATCAATTCCTTCAAGCCTAGGAAGTCTCACGTTCTTGAATCACTTGAACTTGTCGTACAACAACTTAAGTGGTAAAATTCCTTCAAGCACTCAACTGCAGAGCTTCGATTCATGGAGCTTCATTGGCAACCAAGAACTTTGTGGGCCTCCTTTGAATGTGGATTGCAGCTATGACAGCAGATTGCATAGTTTAATTGACGGCGAAGAAATTGATGAAGAACATGCATTGTATTGGTTCTTTAGCAGCGTAGTTTTGGGTTTTGTGGGCGGTTTCTGGGGTGTGGTTGCCACTTTTGCATTCATCCAACTGTCGACAATCCCAGATTCCGAGTTCAAGGACTACATGGGTAAAAAATTGTGGATCTTGTTAATGAGATTACTGAAGTAGGAGCACGTTCATGCCCAGAAAGGGCATTCTTAGCAAGGAACTTGTGCACAGTGCCCAAAATGTACAGAAACAGTAGTTATATCGGTCATTCTATCAACATTATGAAGTTTGCCTTTAGCTGTAAGTGATTTAAATTAACTGCTATCCTCCTAGACTTTGTCATTTCCTTATGAATATTCTTATTAAAATTTATTGTATCCTTAGATAGGTTAGAGGATAATGCAGAAAGACACATACTAATACTACTAAAATCTGTTGCAACTTTTTTCTCATGGTGATACTGGTACTAAAAGGAAACCTAGTTGCACCGCAAAAATACAAGCTTGATTGTCCAGTTTGGCACTAGTTACTGATTTTTCCAGCCGTGATACCTGTTACAATTGGTTCTTTATTCTGTTGGTTTTGACCATGTTTTCCACATGCTAATTGGTTGTGCAAATTGTTTCTCAAATGAGATTATTCCGGGTTCATGATAGCAATTACTCGCACTTTAAAGTTTAAAAATTTATGCTTTTACGTTTTTAGGTAACCAAAACGCTTCTATGTAAAAACTCAGTTTTTATAACTAATGTAGTTAAAATGCGCTTTAAACATTCCAAATTTACGGTTTTACGCTTCTAAATCGCCAAAACTCTTCGATGTAGAAACGCGGTTTTGACTACATTGATAGTATTCATTCACAAAAATTCTGTATTATGCTAGTATTAGACTTGGTTCTTTTTGCGTTGTTCTTATGGCAGACTCAATTCCTCCAACAAAATCTCCGGGACGAAGCTTATCAATAGGCTAATGATCTCCGTAAGCTTATCACCTTACGGCGGAGGGACAGAACTTTTTCAGCATACGTTCTGAAGATGGGATATCGTTTGAAGGGATGGCTGCAATGATGGAGGACGGGGATGTGCTTCCAAGCGCATGGCCACGAACGGGACAATACAAAGGTTTGAACGGCCGATCTGGTGTCCAGAAACAAAGGATGTGATAAAGAATGGGTTCTGGAAGATTGCTGAACGTGTCTATAGTATTAGCTTCTTCTTCGGGGCGCATTTTCCGATCATTGCCCAGCTCACGGCCAGAGCGTTTGCTGTTCATTGCTTTCTGGCACCGGCAAAATTGCCTCACCAGTCTACCTCCTCCGCGCATGTTTTTTTCGTCCCCAGCCTTTCGTTTGCAGTTAGTGCCGAGTTCCCGCTAATGCCCCTGCTGGGGAATGAAGGGTAAGTAGGTTTATCTGTGACTGTACTTTTTGGATGAGTGTGTTTATTGGATTAGGTTGCCTGCCATCTGTAAATGTCGCAATGAGCACAATGCTAGAATCGAGCTAGGACCATGAGTTATGCTATTGATTCAAATCATTCAATGGTCTCCTAACGATATTGCCTGATCTCAATTCCTCTCAACAAAAACTCGGGGACGAAGCTTATCACAAGTACTAAATCCTTTGCATCAGAACCTCATTTGGAGAAGCTTGCTAGCGCCCCCAGGCCCAGACCATCACGTCGCTATTTCATGTACTCGTCATTTGTCACCGTTGCTGCCCTCAAGTTTAGATTTTGGCTTTGGCATACGTTTCTTTTTCACAGAAGCACATTGTTGCTTGAAATTGGCGTATGTGTGAGTATTCTTATCTCATTTTCCTCAATAGTTTCTTAGTTGATATTTAAGTGTCTTGTCTCATCCTTTTGGTTTGTTATTTTTCACGAAGGAGAGGAATACAACGCAACAGCTGAATGCCTGAATCTAACCAGATAAATTGGCAGTTCGATTTCATGATTAACAGATGGTGGACGGCAAATGATACTTTTTCTCTTAGCTAAACAAACCATTTGTCTGAAGACGGGTATTAATGCTATTGGAAACTCAGGAATGTATTATTTTAGTGATGATGAAAGCTTTCTCCCTCATCAGTCTTGTCTCATCCTCGTGACTTCATATGCTTTACAGGAAGGACAGGAATATATTGCAACAGCTCAACCTAACCACACAAAATGACAGATCTATTTTATGATTAAGAGACGGGGGGCAGCAGCTGATACTTTTTCCCTTAGCTAAAATCAAGAATTTGACTGAAGACTGACTCATTCTATTGGGAACTCAGGAGAATTCTCCAATGAAGAATTCCGTGAAAACAGGAAAGATTAGCTTCAAAAGAGTTGAGACACATTGCGTTCTGTTACTAGCAATGCTTGTATATGGTATATACTTGCTGCGAGTTTGAGCCTTCCCAACTAATAACCCTTAACTCAATGACTGCTGTTGCAGCTCTTCTTGTCTGCTTGTGTTGCATGTACTTCAGCCATGTAACTTCTAGTGAAGGCTGTTGTCAAGATGAAAGGGAAGCCCTTTTGAAGTTCAAGGATGATCTTGAAGACCCTACAAGCTTTCTATCATCTTGGGTTGGCCAGGATCCCTGTACATGGTCCGGTGTTGTATGTGATAATTTTACCGGCCATGTCACCGAGCTCCATCTTGGATGGCCTTCTTCCAGGGACGACTCGGTGTTTAGCGGTAAGCTAAATCCTTCATTGCTTCAGCTGAAGTATCTCAGTTATTTGGACCTGTCAAACAATCGTTTCCAAGGGATTCCCATTCCGAGTTTTCTTGGCTCTATGAGTAGTTTAAAGCACCTCTACCTTGATGGAGCTGGATTTGGAGGAGTTATTCCTCATCAACTGGGAAACCTCTCAAATCTGCATCAACTTGGCCTGCAGGCTGCGAGGCGTAATGTGTTATATGCTGATAGTTTGAAGTGGCTTTCTGGTATGTCTTCACTACGGTACCTTGATTTAAGTGATGTCGATCTTAGTGATGCTTCTGACTGGTTGAACATGATAAACACACTCCCATCTCTTTCAGAATTGTATCTATCAAACTGTCGTATCCGTCATATCCCTCCCCTCAATAATTTGAACATGTCTTCGTTGTCTGCTCTTAGTTTGCAGCAGAATGATTTTGATCAAACTTCAGTTCCTAGTTGGGTTTTTCATCTTCAGAGCCTTACTTACTTGAATCTAGGAATCAACTCTTTTGATGGTCCAATTTCTGACGAGCTTCAAAACCTTACTTCACTGAGGACCCTTTCATTGAACTCCAATCGATTCAATCATTCAATACCAAACTGGTTGTATAGATTTAGTCATCTAGAGACACTTGATCTATATGGTAATCATTTGGATGGTAAAGTCTCAACTGCTGGCATTGGAAACTTGTCTTCTCTTGTTGACCTTAATTTGTCTGTCAATCATGGACTCGAATTTGAGAGGGGAATTCCAGAGTCATTCAAAAGCTTCTGCCGTTTGAGGTCGCTTTCTCTACAAAATGTAAAACTGAATCAAAAAGTATCAGAGCTGCTTGAAATCCTTGGAGAATGTGCTTCTGATACTTTACAAGTATTGTTGTTGTTTAATTGCCAACTGTCTGGTCAGTTGACCAGTCGTATTGGAAATTTCAAGAAACTTTACCGCCTCATCCTCGGAAATAATTCCATTTCTGGTTCACTTCCAATGTCATTCGGAGAAATGACTTCCTTGATTGATGTAGACCTTTCAAGAAATAACATCAGTGGGACAATTCCAACAAGTTTTGGGGAATTGGCACAGCTGGCTTATGTGGATATCTCTCAGAACTCGTTGCATGGTGTTGTTTACCCTGAAATTCACTTTGCCAACCTCAGAAAGCTGTCTTGCTTTTATGCATCTGGAAACAAGATGGTGATGAAAGCTAAACCAGATTGGGTTCCTTACAAACTACTTGAAGACTTGGACCTAGAATCCTGGTATGTTGGACCTGGATTTCCCCATTGGCTCAAGAGTTTGCAGTATCTCAAGTCTCTTGATCTATCAAACTCTAGAATTTCAGAACCCATTCCTGACTGGTTCTGGAGCATATCATCTCAGTTCTACTATTTGAATTTCTCTCGCAATCAAATCCCTGGAAGGCTCCCACATGTCATACCTGTAGTTCTCACTGTTTCATATTTTGATTTCAGCTCCAATTTCTTGGAAGGTCCTCTTCCTGCTATCTCATCCAACTTGACATTTGTTGATCTTTCCAACAATCTGCTTTCTGGAAACTTGTTCAAATTCTTGTGTTTCAACCCCAGTGAGATGAGGGCTACAGAATTTCTAAGCTTATATGGTAATAATTTGACTGGTGAGATACCAGATTGTTGGAAGACTTGGCCGAGCTTGTCGAGCATAAGGCTGGGAGGAAATAAGCTCAGTGGCAAGATCCCAAAGTCCCTTGGATATGTAAGTTCCCTCGTATCTTTGCGCCTTCAGAACAATAGGCTGTCCGGTCAAATTCCACCATCCCTCCAAAACTGCTCCAGGTTAGTCATAGTTGACTTGAGTGATAATGGATTGGAGGGGAAGATTCCGGAATGGATGGGACAAAGCCTTTCCAGATTATCCATTCTTAGTTTACGCCGGAATAAGTTCCATGGCAGTATACCTAAGGAGATCTGTGGCCTGCAATCTTTACAGATCTTGGATCTTTCTCACAACTCTCTCTCTGGGGCCTTGCCAGAATGTGTTGCTAATCTCAGTGCCATGGCTACTCCAAATAATAATACTTTAGGGGTCATTGCAGTTTATGGTGTTCGTGGGCAATCATTATTGGATACTCAGATTCTTGTGAGAAAAGGGCAGTTGTTGGACTACAGCACCATACTGAACTATGTAAGGAGTTTGGACCTCTCTTGGAATGACTTGTCAGGACAGATCCCCAACGAGATCTCAAGCCTGGCAGCCCTTAAATATCTCAACTTGTCACATAATTCATTCTCTGGTGCAATTCCGAAGGATCTAACCGCAATGCTCTCTCTTGAATCCATGGATCTATCGATGAACCAGCTGTCCGGATCAATCCCTTCAACCCTGGGAAGTCTCACATTCTTGAATTACTTGAACTTGTCGTACAACAACTTGGTTGGTAAAATTCCTTCAAGCACTCAACTGCAGAGCTTTGATTCATGGAGCTTCATTGGCAACCAAGAACTTTGTGGGCCTCCATTGAATGTGGACTGCAGCAATGACAGCAAAGTGCCTGGTTTAATGGACGGAGAAGAAAATGATGGAGAGCACGCATTGTATTGGTTCTCTGGCAGCGTAGCTTTGGGTTTCGTGGGCGGTTTCTGGGGTGTGGTTGCCACTTTTGCATTCATCCAACTGTCAACAAACCCAGAGTCTGAGTTTAAGGATCACACAGGTAAAAAACTGTGGATCTTGTTAATTAGATTGCTGAAGTAGGAGCGTTGTCATGCCCAGAAAGGGCATTCCTAGGGAGGAACTTGTGCACACAGTGCCTAGAATGTACAGAAAAAGAGTATTTATATCAGGTTCTACTTTCCATGGTTTAGTAACAGCTTAAACATCAGCGGCTGTTTCGATCCTGATGAAACAGTAATCCTCTTTGTTGCACTGTAGAAATTCAAGCTTGAATGTTCAGTTTGCACTTGTTGTTGACTTTTCCAATTGTGACACTGTTATACTTCTTTTTTCCATTGGTTTTGACTCTCTTTCTCCATGCGAGTTGGTTCTGCAAAAATTGTATCTCAAATGGGTTTATTCTGAATTCATGATGGGGATCATTACATCCATTCCTTGCTGAGAATCACTGATCCTGATATAATTATTTACTACACTCATTTGGTTTTATCTCTCGACTTTTTTTTCCTTCTCGTTCAATTTCGACTTTATCGCTTTTGGGATGGTTTCTGTTGTGTTGAAAGCAGACTAAACTGGGTACTGCCTTGGAGGGGCCTCTCTAGTTGTGGCTGATAATCGCCTGCACTGGTAAGATTCCATTATTAATTCCTCTGTTTCCTTTGATTTTTCTCTTATTATGGTATGCTGGTGCTATGTTCTCATTTCTCTGCAGCTAGAGTTCGAACTTAGCCAGGGAGGGATACATATCTTCTAATTGTTATCGAGTATGAATGCCCTTTTGGAACTGTCGGATGTCAACCTCAGAGTTACCCTTGATGATCGTCCTGGATAATTGCCGATTAACTGAGCATCAACGTCATGAACAATCAGCCCTAAAGAGCAAGAAAATCGGCACACACTAGTGTCAAAATAACATTCAAGAAGCCATCCAGGGGTAGTTATGATATGTCATCTGATTGAGTAAACCAAAAATCATCTGGTTATGAAATTTTAACTTTTAATATCATCCACATTGAAAAATCTCGAATTGGGAGCGCCCAAAGCGCAGGAAGCGATGCCACCAAAGGCTGAAATTGACGCCACCAGCCGAACTTTCTTTCTTTATATAGGGATGACATCAATTATTATAAGGGGGGGAATTAAAGTACAAGACAAAGTCAAGCTGCAAATTAAGTTCCCAGGACTGGTTGAAATCAGGCCTGATGTTGCAGTAATACAACTCTAACACAAAAACAAGCTTATGAGATCTGCTGTGATGCATCTTCAAACCTCTTCATACTATATAGACAGTACACTGTAGACTATGATTCAGATTCTCCAGCTTCTTCGGTTCACTATGATTCAGACAAAATGACAATTCTATCTTATGTTTAAGGAATGGTGGCCAGCAGCTGATGTTTTTTCTCTTGGCTAAAATCAAGAATTTGGCTGAATTCTATTGGGAACTCAGAAGAATTCTTCGTTGAAGAGTCCCAACAAAGCAGGAAAGATGTAGCCTGCAAAGGGTTAAGAAAGCAAGAATTTGGCTGAATTCAAGTGGGAACTCAGAAGAATTCTTCACTGAAGAGTCCCAGCAAAGCAGGAAAGATGTAGCCTGAAAAGGGGTAAGACAACGCTTGTATATGGTATATTTGCTCTAAAGTTGAGCCCTTCGCTACTAATGATCTTTAACAGGATGACTGCTGTTGCAGCTCTTCTTATTTGCTTGGGCTGCGTGTGCTTTGGCCGTGCGACTTCTAGTGAAGGCTGTGATCAAGATGAAAGAGAAGCCCTTTTGAAGTTCAAGGCTGATCTTGAAGACCCTTCAAGCTCTCTGTCATCTTGGGTTGTCCAAAGGGATTGCTGTATATGGTCAGGTGTTGTCTGTGATAATTTTACTGGCCATGTCACTGAGCTCCATCTCGGGTGGTCGTCTTCCTGGGACGGTTCTGTGTTTAGTGGTAAGCTAAATTCTCAATTGCTTCAGTTGAAGTATCTCAGTTATTTGGACCTGTCCAACAATCATTTTAAAGGGATTCCTATTCCAAGTTTCCTTGGCTCTATGAGTAGTTTAAAGCATCTTTATCTTGATGGATCTGGATTTGGCGGAGTCATTCCTCATCAACTTGGAAACCTCACAAATCTGAAGCAACTTGGCCTGCAGGCTGCTAGAGATTATGTGCTATATGCTGATAGTTTGCGGTGGCTTTCTGGTCTGTCTTCACTAAGATACCTTGATTTGAGTGATGTCGATCTCAGCAATGCTTCTGACTGGTTGAGCATGATAAACACACTCCCAACTCTTTCGGAATTGTATCTATCAAACTGTCGTATCCGTTATATCCCACCCCTCAAGAATTTGAACATGTCTTTGTTATCTGGTCTTAGTTTGTATCACAATCAATTTGCTCAAACTTCAGTTCCTAGTTGGGTTTTTCATCTTCGGAGTCTTACTTACTTGGATCTAGGAGTGAACACTTTTGATGGTCCGATTCCTGACCAGCTTCAAAACCTGACTTCACTGAGGACCCTTTCCTTGTCCGGCAATCGATTCAATCATCCAATACCAGACTGGTTATATAGATTAAGTCATCTTGAGGCGCTTTATCTATGCGGTAATAAGTTGGATGGTAAAGTCTCAACTGCTGGCATTGGAAACTTGTCTTCTCTTGTTTACCTTGACATATCAGACAATTATGGCCTCGAATTTGAGAGGGGAATTCCGGAGTCGTTCAAAAGCTTCTGCCATTTGAGGTCACTTTCTCTGAATAATGTAATACTGAATCAAAATGTATCAGAGTTGCTTGAAATCCTTGGAGAATGTGCTTCTGATACTTTGCAGGCATTGTTGTTGTTTAATTCCCAACTGTGTGGTCAGTTGACTGACCGGATTGGAGATTTCAAGAGACTTAGTCGTCTCGACCTTAGAAAGAATTCCATTTCTGGTTCACTTCCAATGTCATTTGGAGAAATGACATCCTTATACTATTTAAACCTTGCAAGAAACAAGATCAGTGGGACAATTCCAACAAGTTTTGGGGCATTGGCACAGCTGAATTATGTGGATATCTCTCAGAACTCATTGCATGGCGTCATTTACCCTGAAATTCATTTTGCCAATCTCAGAAATTTGGCTTGCTTTTATGCATCTGGAAATCAGATGGTTTTGAAAGCTAAACCAGATTGGGTTCCTTCCAAGCTACTTGATGAATTAGACCTAGAATCTTGCTATGTTGGACCTGTATTCCCCCATTGGTTGCGGAGTTTGCAGCATCTCAAGTCTCTTGATCTATCTAACTCTGGAATTTCAGAACCCATTCCTGACTGGTTCTGGAGCATGTCCTCTCAGTTCTACTATCTTAATTTCTCTCACAACCAAATCCCGGGAAGGCTTTCACATGTCATCCCTGTTGTGAGCACTTATTCATTGGTTGATTTCAGCTTCAATTGCTTGGAAGGTGCACTGCCTACTATCTCATCCAACTTGACATTTCTAGACCTTTCCAGCAATCTGCTTTCTGGAAACTTGTTCAAGTTCTTTTGTTTCAACCCCAGTGAAATGAGGGCTACAGAATTTCTGAACCTGTTTGGTAATAGATTGACTGGCGAAATACCAGATTGTTGGAAGACTTGGCAGAGCTTGTCAATCATGAGACTGGACAGGAACAAGCTCAGTGGCAAGATCCCAAGATCCCTGGGATATTTAAGTTCCCTCAGGTCTTTGCGCCTTCAGAACAATAGGTTGTCTGGTGAAATTCCACCGTCTCTCCAGAATTGCTCCAGGTTAGTCACAGTTGACTTGGGTCATAATGGATTTGAAGGGAAGATTCCGGAATGGATGGGACAACGCCTTTCGAGATTGTCCATTCTTAGTTTACCCGGGAATAAGTTCCATGGCAGCATACCTAAGGAGATCTGTAACCTGCAATCTTTACAGATCTTGGATCTTTCTCACAACTCTCTCTCCGGTATCTTGCCAAAATGCATTGCTAATCTCAGCGCCATGGCTACTCCAAACAATGATACTTCAGGCCTCATTTCGCCCTTTGCTGGTGCGTGGAAATCGTTTTCAGATAGTCTGATTCTGACGAGGAATGGGCAGTTGTTGGATTACAGCACCATACTGAACTATGTCAGAAGTCTGGACCTTTCTAGTAATAACTTGTCAGGACGGATCCCAAACCAGATCACAAGCCTGGTAGCCATTCAATATCTCAACTTGTCACATAATTCATTCTCTGGTGCAATTCCGGAGGATCTAACCGCAATGCTCTCTCTTGAATCCATGGATCTCTCGACGAACCAACTGTCCGGGTCAATCCCTTCAACCCTGGGAAGCCTCACATTCTTGAATTGCTTGAACTTGTCGTACAACAACTTGGTTGGTAAAATTCCTTCAAGCACTCAACTGCAGAGCTTTGATTCATGGAGCTTCATTGGCAACCAAGAACTTTGTGGGCCTCCATTGAATGCGGCGGACTGCAGCAATGACAGCAGAGCGCCTGGTTTAATGGATGGAGAAGAAAACGATGAAGAACATGCTTTGCATTGGTTCTCTGGCAGTGTAGTTTTCGGTTTTGTGGCCGGTTTCTGGGGTGTGATCGTCACTTTAGCATTCGTCGGTCCAACGGTCACAAACCCCAGAATCTGAGTTGAAGGATCACATGGGTCAAAAACTGCTGGTCTTGTTGACGAGATTGCTGAAGTAATTTACAGAAACAGTAGTTATATCAGGTTCTACTTTCCTTGATTTAGTAACATCTTAAACATCTGAGGTTGTCTCAAATCCTGATAGAACAGTAAACCTCCTTTGTACAAATTCAAGCTTCATTGTCCACTCTGCACTTGTCATTGACTTTTTCTTTGGTTTTAATCTCTCAACAGTCCACTTTTATCGCTTCTGTGATAGCTTCTCAAGTTTTGGCTGATAATTTCCTGATATGGTAATAGAGTTTCCATCAAACTCCTCTGATTCCTTTGCCATTTCTCTTCTTACTTTTTACCAGGAATTTCAATGATGGAAATATCTGTAGCCATAAGTCATCAAAAAATGTCTGAAACCAGATGTGCTATATATGTTCTCATTTGGAATGGCAATGGGGCAGGTCCGGGGCGGGTATCTCGATACCCATACCCGCCCCATGGCAGGTCGGGTCCAGGTCGGGTAATTTATCACGGGGCGCGGGTCGGGACAGGTCGACCCACTGGGTGTGTAATTTATGTGAAAAACATTAGAAATATTCATTCTTTTCATTGAAAGACCAAGAAAGAAACCATAATATGATAAAATGTAGTTAAATTACTGAAGAAATTGAGATTTTCACTTATTTACAACTTTATTATAGCTAAAATATAATCTAATAAGAGGAAAATCTTAAGTAAATTGACTAAGATTAATGTAATTTAGGCAAGAATGGGTCCAGAATGGGGCGGGTCAGGGCAGGTCGGGTCGATGAGAGGTACCCATGCCCGCCCCGCCTCGCCTACGGAGCGGGTTTGACCCGCCCCAAAACAGGTCAAACAGGTCGGGTAAATCGGGCCAGGTCGAAATTGCCATCCCTACTCATTTCTCTGCAGTTTTTTTTTTTTGTTTGGTACAATAGGAAAGTTATAAAACAATAGGGGATCATTCTACTGGTGGGCTCATCTCGAATAAAGCCAGGCCTATTCCACAAAGTGGGCCCATTTTGAAATAAGCCCATCACCATTGTGGCCGCCTCCAGTAAAAAGTGGATCCACAAAAAATGGTCCCAATGAAGGCCCAAAAATAGGAATGGAAAGACAACACCTCCAGTAAAATTGGATCCTTCATCGTTCTCTTTCCCCATGGCCCAAACCCTTTCCAACGATCGCCCTGTCCCTCTCCCTACGATGTCAGCGGCGGCCGGCGGTTCTAAAGCCGCCGCCGCCGCCGCCGCCGCCGCTGACCCATCCCTCTTGGCTCGCCCGATTCAGCTGTTTTTTTGCCACTGGCGATCCCTTGTGTCTGCTTCTTGCTGCTGCCGGTGCTGCTGATCCGGCTGATCGTGGAATTCGATCTCCGGACTGCGGACTAAACCCAGTCTCAGAGTTTCACGAATGGACAGGTTTTTCTATCGATTTCCGGAAGAGCTGGCGAAGACTGCAAATTGTCATTTGTCCAGGAAAAGAGGCATATAGTGCATAGTAGCATCTAAGAAATGGTGGGCAGCAGCTGAGATGCCTTTTCCCATAGCTAAAAAACAAGAATTTGACTCATTCTGTTTGGACTCATATATTGATAAGGTAAGCTCCAGTCTCATGATCTCATACCTGCGGCTTTATTATGCAATAGCCGAACTTAAGCAGACAAAATGACAGTTTTATCTTATGATTAAGGGACGGTGGCCAGCAGTTGATACTTTTTCTCCCAGCTAAAGGCAAGAATTAGACTGATTCTATTGGGAACTCAGAAGAATTCTTCATTGAATAGTCGCAAGCAAAGGAGGAAGTAGCCTGAAAAGGGGTATGATACTATGATACATTGTGTCCTCTTACTAGCAATGCTTGTATATGGTATATTTGCCGTGAGGTTTGAGCCCTTCGCTACTAATGACCTTTAACTCAATGACTGCTGTTGCAGCTCTTCTTCTCTGCTTGGGCTGCTTGTGCTTTGGCCATGTGACTTCTAGTGAAGGCTGTGGTCAAGATGAAAGAGACGCCCTATTGAAGTTCAAGGCTGATCTTGAAGACCCTTCAAGCTCTCTGTCATCTTGGGTTGTCCAAAGGGATTGTTGTTTGTGGTCTGGTGTTGTCTGTGATAATGTTACTGGCCATGTCACTGAGCTCCATCTCGGATGGGAGTCTTCCTGGGACGGTTCTGTGTTTAGTGGTAAGCTAAATTCTCAATTGCTTCAGTTGAAGTATCTCAGTTATTTGGACCTGTCAAACAATCATTTTCAAGGGATTCCTATTCCAAGTTTTCTTGGCTCTATGAGTAGTTTAAACCATCTTTACCTTGATGGAGCTGGATTTGGCGGAGTCATTCCCCATCAACTGGGAAACCTCACAAATCTGCAACAACTTGGTCTGCAGGCTGCTAGAGGTTATGTGCTATATGGTGATAGTTTGAGGTGGCTTTCTGGTATGTCTTCACTAAGATACCTTGATTTGAGTGATGTCGATCTTAGCAATGCTTCTGACTGGTTGAACATGATAAACAAACTCCCAAGTCTTTCAGCATTGTATCTATCAAGATGTCGTATCCGTCATATCCCGCCCCTCAAGAATTTGAACATGTCTTCGTTGTCTGTTCTTAGTTTGCATTACAATCAATTTGCTCAAACTTCAGTTCCTAGTTGGGTTTTTCATCTTCGGAGCCTTACTTACTTGAATCTAGGAGTCAACGCTTTTGATGGTCCAATTCCTGACCAACTTCAAAACCTTACTTCACTGAGGACACTTTCCTTGCCCTCAAATCGGTTCAGTCATTCAATACCAAACTGGTTATATAGATTAAGTCATCTTGAGACACTCAATCTATATGGTAATCAGTTGGATGGTAAAGTCTCAACTGCTGGGATTGGAAACTTGTCTTCTCTTGTTTACCTTGACCTGTCAATCAATCGTCGCCTTGAATTTGAGAGGGGAATTCCAGAGTCATTCAAAAGCTTCTGCCATTTGAGGTCACTTTCTCTGCATAATGTAATACTGAATCAAAATGTATCAGAGTTGCTTGAAATCATTGCAGAATGTGCTTCTGATACTTTACAGGTATTGTTGTTGTCTAGTTGCCAACTGTCTGGTCAGTTGACTGATCAGATTGGGGTTTTCAAGAGTCTTAACCGTCTCAGCCTCGCAAATAATTCCATTTCTGGTTCACTTCCAATGTCATTTGGAGAAATGACATCCTTATACCATGTAAACCTTGCAAGAAACAAGATTAGTGGGACAATTCCAACAAGTTTTGGCGCATTGGCACAGCTGGAGTACCTGGATATCTCTCAGAACAAATTGCAGGGCGTCATTTACTCTGAAATTCATTTTGCCAATCTCAGAAGGCTGGCTTGCTTTATAGTTTCTGGAAATAAGGTGGTGTTGAAAGCTAAACCAGATTGGGTTCCTTCCAAGCTCCTCGAAAGATTAGACCTAGAATCCTGTTATGTTGGACCTGGATTCCCCCATTGGTTGCAGAGTTTGCAGCATCTCAAGTCTCTTGATCTATCTAACTCTGGAATTTCAGAACCCATCCCTGACTGGTTCTGGAGCATGTCGTCTCAGTTCTACTATATGAATTTGTCTCACAACCAAATCCCAGGAAGGCTTCCACATGTCATCGCTGTTGTAAACAATTTATCAATGTTTGATTTCAGCTCCAATTTCTTGGAAGGTCCACTGCCTACTATTTCATCCTACTTGACATTTCTGGACCTTTCCAACAATCTGCTTTCTGGGAACTTGTTCAAGTTCTTGTGTTTCAACCCCAGCGAGAAGAGGGCTACAGAATTTCTGAGCCTGTACGGTAATAGATTGACTGGCGAAATACCAGATTGTTGGAAGACTTGGCAGAGCTTGTCGACTATAAGGCTGGACAGAAACAAGCTCAGTGGCAAGATCCCTAGGTCCCTCGGGTATTTAAGTTCCCTCAAGTCCTTGCGCCTCCAGAACAATAGGTTGTCTGGTGAAATTCCACCATCCGTCCAGAACTGCTCCAGGTTAGTCACAGTTGACTTGGGTTATAATGGATTGGAAGGGAAGATTCCAGAATGGATTGGACAAAGCTTTTCTAGATTGTCCATTCTTAATTTGGGCAGGAATAAGTTTCATGGCAGCATACCTAAGGAGATTTGCAACCTACAATCGTTACAGATCTTAGATCTTTCTCACAACTCTCTTTCTGGTACCTTGCCAAAATGTATTGCTAATCTCAGTGCCATGGCTACTCCTAACAATGATACTTCAGGTCTCATTTCCCTCTTTGCTGGTGCGAGTAAATTGTTTTCGGATACTCAGATTCTGACGAGGAAAGGCCAGTTGTTCAATTACAGCACCATACTGAACTATGTCAGAAGTTTGGACCTTTCCTGGAATAACTTGTCAGGACAGATCCCCAACCAGATCACAAGCCTGGCAGCCCTTCAATATCTCAACTTGTCACATAATGCCTTGTCTGGAGCAATACCAGAGGATCTAACCGCAATGCTCTCTCTTGAATCCTTGGATCTCTCGATGAACCAGCTGGCCGGATCAATTCCTTCAAGCCTGGGAAGCCTCACATTCTTGAATTTCTTGAACTTGTCGCACAACAACTTGGGTGGGATAATTCCTTCAAGCACTCAACTGCAGAGCTTTGATTCATGGAGCTTCATCGGCAATCGAGAACTTTGTGGGCCTCCATTGAAGGTGGACTGCAGCAGCAACAACAGAGTGCCTGGTTTAATGGGTGAAGAAGAAAATGATGAAGAGTATGCATTGCATTGGTTCTCTGGCAGCGTTGTTCTGGGTTTCGTGGGCGGTTTCTGGGGTGTGGTTGCGTGGTTTGTATTGCTCCAACGGTTGTCAAACCCAGGCTCTGGGTTGGAAGATCACATTGGTCAAAACCTGTTGATCTTGTTAATGAGATTGCTGAAGTAGGAGTTTTCATGCCCAGAAATGGCCTTCTTAGGTAGGAACTTCTGCACAGTCCCCAGAATGTACAGAAAAAGTAGTTATATGAGGTTGTTTCAAATCTCAGGTTGTTTCAAATCCTGATGGAACAGTAAACCGTAGAAATTTTGTTTTGATTGTTCTGTTTGGACTTGCTAGTTGATTTTTCCCCATTGGTTGTTTCAAAATGTTTGCAGCCAGTTTATCAAAGAACGTCTGAAAATCGCCTCTTCCCTCCGACCTAAGCTCATGGTCTAAGAAGCTCAGCTTGCGGAGATTCAGGGGACAACAACAGGACAAAACCTTGCTTTCATGTCTGCAGAAACTCGAGTAACGTTGGAAGTCACATTGATTGAAGTCAAGAACAGGGGCATGTTTCCAGACGCATCTCCAAAATCGTGACAATGCAGAGGTTAAAATCGTGACAATACAGAGGTTAGAACGGCGGATTTGGTGTCAAGAAAAGGAAGGATGTGATGGACTGTAGGTTCTGGAAGACAGCTCAACCTGTCCTGATGACCTTTCCTTTTTTTTTGGGTAGGAGATGATGACCTTTCCTTGCCTAACTGTTCTTGCTCGTTAGCTTCCTCTTCTACGGGTGAAAGCAACTAACAATTATGAGAACAGAGAAAGTAAAGTTCGACGGATCAGAGCCAAGGAAGATCAAGGGCGCGAGAGGAGAGACTGTCATCGCCGTCGGGCAAGTTGATCAGTAAACTAGTAGGGACACTTGATCGGAGCTACACTAGGGTTCTGCTAGGCTACAAATACCTCCATGCAAGTGTTAGCTAGTGAATACCTAGAAGGAACAATTGATCTTCTCAGGCCTTGATGTTGGTATCAGATTGTACCTGTCTTTGTTGTTTTCTATTCTCGATGTACCGAACAAAGATCTGAAGCAATAGAACCAGAATACTCTTCCGACTTACTGCTGCTAGCAATATCAAAAGCAATAGAACGAAAAACCAAAGCAATAGAAACCACCATGACCAGAAGTCCAGAAGCTACTAGCTCCTTGGTACTAGGTAAGGCCTGAATGTGAACAAAGTACGATTCCATCTTTTAGCACACATGAAGATAAGAAACATACCATGAGACATGTATAGTAATCTACCCAAGTCAATTGATACCTAAGGACAGAGTGAAGACGATATATGCATCAATGTGATTCAGAAGAACCTGATAAAAGGAATAGCAACCCAGTTCCCTAGAGGTTAGATTCTTCCTAGATGGCCTGAACGTAACGAAAGACCGTCCACTTGCGTTCAAACAGACAAAAAATGAAAGGCAAAGGGCAAATTGACTACTACATCTACAAAACATCAACTTTTGGTTCTGCACAAGAAGATCCTTTGAGAAAGTAATCAGCCACTCTGTAAGGTATGCTGCTTGACTGCACATTCAGAAGCTTCAATCTCGTAAAGGGAGAGGGTAGTTGTTCCAGAAGCTCATCCTCCAAACCACTCAGCACCTAAACAGAACAAGAAACCAACTTGAGACATGAGGTGATAAAATATGCACAGAAAGAAACCAACCCATTAAAAGGCCACAATATTAAAACCAAAGCATACCTTGATGGTATTAGAACCCAGCGTCAGAGAGTTTGCATTACCCAAAGCTTGGAACAAGGAGAACAAATGTCGCTCCACAAATCTCTCATGGTTGAAAATGGAAGCCGGATAGACAAGAACATCAGCATGAACGATGGAAGGAAGAGTTAGCTCTGAGAACACTGAGCATTGCTCCACACCTCCCCTAAGATACAGCGACTTGAGTTTCGGTGCAACTATCTCAACCTTGTGAAACTCCGTACTTTCGAGCCTCAGGCTGAGCAATTCGAGCCCGGAAATCTTGAAACTCCTTTCACGCATGTGACGTGGAACCTTCTTGGGGTGGCAACTAGTCAAAGACAAACTCTGGAGACACGGGAAGTTGGAAAATGGATCAAGGTCCTCCTGCTCAAAAGACAGCGGGCACCAATCCAACACCAAAGTGTTCAGCCTCGGAAACCCAAAAGACCAAAATCTGCCATCGATGGTGACCCAACACAGCTCAAGAGTCCTGAGATTGCAATTCGACATCGAGCCGAACAAATTCGAGAATCTGCAACCGATACCGTAACCAATTCCATCACCCACGTAGAATGCCAAATGTTGAGTATCATGGTGCAAGGCATATTCAACAACCCTGCCAAATTGACTATCATCCTGTTCCGTCCGATTTCCATGGGCGATGTAGGTCATCTTCTGGACACTACCGGGATAGCGGAGTGACAAAATTCTATCCACGAACCGCTGAAAACTCGGATACTCTCGGAAGGATTCGCTACGGAGATCGAGAACAGGGACATGTCTCCAAGCAGATCTCCATGCTCGCGACAATACGCAGGTTTGAACGGCAGACTGGATGTCGAGAAACGAAAGGATGTGACAAATAATGGGTTCTGGAAGATTGCGTATCCTGTCAGTTGTACTACCAGTACTAGTCTCTTCCTTTTCTTCTTCTTCTTCATGTAGCCTTTTCCAAGCTTTCCCCAACTCCCAGCCAGTTCTGTTGTGGTTCATAGCCCCTCGGCGCCATCTCCTAGCTTTCCCCAACTCGCAGCAAGTTCTGCTGTGGTTCATAGCCCCTCGGCGCCTTTTTCTCGCTTTCCCTAACTCGTAGTTCATAGCTACAGAGAATTTCAGTTCTGGGGAACTCTAAGAAGATGTATAAAAGGACTATTACCAGGCGAAAGGCTCTTATCGTCTCCGGTGCGAGAAAGAATCCAACTGCGGCTAGCGAACCCAAACTGCGATGAGCCTTGGCGCGAAGTCTGCAGAGGGAATTGCGCCGTGGCAGTGACAGTGAGCTAGATTTCACTTGTTGGCATTTTTTAGGGTTTCGCAGCTCCGATGGAGGTCGGAGGGAAAATGAAGCGGGAATTGTGACGATTAAATAAAGTAATTATGAAAAATTCAAATAAGCACCTCTACTTTGGGAATCTAACGAATTACTACTTCTACTTGCATTTTGCAACAAACAAGTCCTACTGTACTTATATGGGCACAAACGAAGCTATGTATTTCTATAATTCTATCCATTTTTCCATCAGAAAACCTGCGCCATTTAATTAAGCCCTGAATCAAAACTAATAAACAGATAGATAAAAATAGGGTTAATAGCATTTTCTGCTCCTGTATTTTTGCAAATTAACAATAGTGTCTCTGTATTATGTTTTTGTATAAACATGCCCTTCTTATATTATAATGTAACGGAAATACTCTTCCGTTAAAAATTATGTTTTCTCACCGTTAAATAGGGTTGGAAATGACCTAACTACCCCTGATTAATAACTAAATGCCATTTACTTTTCAACTCGTTACAGCCGAATTAAGAAAAGAAAGAATCCCGTAAGCTACAGCCGTAATTCGTTCACCTTCTCCCTTCTACCATGAGCGACCAGTCAATCATCATCGGTTCCAACCAACCCGTCCGGCGTCCACCAACTCTGTCCAGTGGCGGAGGGAGGTAAGGAGGAGAGGGGTCCTAGGACCCCACTTGGCAAATAATTGGGCAACAAAACCCTTCAAATACATAGGTTTTAGTACGATAATTCAAGTTTAGGACCCCATACTCTCAACGATGTTAGCTCACTAAGGACCCCGGTTAACTCAAAATTCATTAGGTACACAAGCATTTATGTTAGTAAAATTTTAAGGACCCCAGTGGACTTGATGTCTGGCTACGCCACTGACTCTGTCGACGTTGTGTCGGCGCTGCCTTGCTGCTGGGGACTCGGCCGGCGTTGCATTGTTGTAGTGGTCCTCGTCCAGAACGGCAGCAATCCTGGGAGACTGAAATTCCATCGACAAAAGAGGAAATTCACACTTATCACATTTGCCTCTTAGTTAAGGCTCCATTCCAAACCCCCTTATTTAAACCTAATTTATACGAATAAGACAAAAGGAGAAGGAAGAAGAGAGGGTTTGTCTCTGTTGCGCCCGAGGAAGAAGGATTCCGGGATGCTCCCGCTGCCGCCGGAGGGAGAAGGCTTCCGGGATGCTCTCGCTGTCGTCGGAGGGAGAAGGATTACCGGATGCTCCCGCTGGTTCAGGATGCTCTCCCGCTGCCGGCAGCGTCTTCGTTGACGGGAATAATCAAATAGGAGAGGGGTGGATTTTCTTTCAAAGTGGAAGAAACGGGTGGGGTTTTTTTAACAGTGGAATAATTTAATGGGGGAGGGATGGCATTTAGTTATTAATCAGGGGTTGTTGGGTCATTTCCGACCCTAGTTAACGGTGAGAAAACAGAATTTTTAATGGAAAAGTATTTTCGTTACGTTGTAATATTAGAATGGCATGTTTGTGTAAAAATATAATATATAGGGATACGTTTGTTAATTCGCAATATTATAGGAGCACATTTCTCACATCTTATTTCATGCATCGAAAACTCTCTTTCTAGTTGATTTTAATTCTCATGCTAAAACAAACGTTGCTACTTTCTTCTCCAATGTTGCATATGTTATCCACATGTCCAAATGAGAAATATTTCAGGGAGGTGAACACATTTTCGAAAACTGTTATAGACCGAGTTAAACAAATTTCCCAGTTTAAGTACAGTCGAATGATGAGTGTGTGTGAAATAGTTACGTGGGTTGTTTCCTCCGAGGCGCAGTCGTAGCTCTGCAACCGGTCGGACCTCAATTCTCGCCACTCACTGGTTAGTAGTAATTTCTCACTACTCATCTTTCTCAAACGTGGACGACGAAGTGATCTTCACCATTCTCACCATGCAATTGCCCGAGGGAAATTTGAAATTTCTCAAACGTGGACGCCGACAATTGAAAAAAAGTTACAACACAGTACGTTCACCGCTCCAGATCCAAATTGAACCAGGCTCTGATACCAGTTGCTGAAATAGGACAGCTCCGTTAGTATGATATTATCTGTTTTGAGCCAAACCCGTGTATTTTATAAGTATTCCCCTCAAAAGGCCTCGTACTAATTAAACTAGATAGACACAAATATGGGCTGAGATCAGGTGACTAAGGGGGGTCCCCTTAGTCACATGGCTAAGTAAATCTCAACCACCCAATCTCATTAAAATCTAAGGGTTCCTGTTAATCCAATTTAATGAAGGGCATTGTAGTAATTACATGTTTAATTTTTACTTTTAATTAATAAAATGAAGAAAAAAAAATAGGCCAGCCGTCCGCGTCGGCCCCGTCCTTTGCGCCGCTTCGTCTCCGTCCAATTCTCTGGGCAGAGAATTCTTCTCCCCTCCGCCATTATTCCCTGGAATTCCCAGAGAGAGAGCCGTCCAATTTCCTGGGCAGGGAATTCTTCTCCCCTCCGCCATTATTCCCTGGAATATTCCCAGAGAGAGAGAGAGAGAGAGAGAGAGAGAGAGAGATTTCCGGTGACCGGAGAAAATTCTCCGGTGATCGGAGAAAACTTTCCGACGACAGTGTTGGATTTGTGATGTTTACTGGCCTGTTTTGTAATGTTTATATAGATTCAGTTTGTATTGTTTGTAATTTTTAGTGACATTTTGTACGGTTAGTATGCTTTGTACTGTTTGTCGGTTTATTTTGTAATGTTTGTACGCTTTGTTATTTTGTAATGTTTGTCGGTTTTTTGTATTCTTTGTATGCTTTGTTAGTTTGTATACTTTGTATTCATTTGTTTGTAATACAAGTTTACCAATCTGTATTGTAAGTAGTGATATTCTGTACGTGTAGTATGCTTTGTACTGTTTGTAATGTTTGTTATTTTGTAATGTTTGTAATGTTTGTATTACTATTTTGTATACATTGTAATGTTTGTAATGTTAGTATTGTTTGTTTGTCTATTTTGTATACTTTATGTTATGATTTATACACTTGTTATTCATTGATTTGTATTTGTAACTTTTGTTATTCAAGTTTGTATACTTTTATGTTATGATTTGTATACTTTGTATTCATTTGTTTGTAATACAAGTTTACCAATCTGTATTGTAAGTAGTGATATTTTGTACGTGTAGTATGCTTTGTACTGTTTGTAATGTTTGTTTGCAATGTTTGTAATGTTTGTTATTTTGTAATGTTTGTAATATTTGTTGGTTTCTTTTGTATTGTTTGTAATGTTTGTTATTTTTGTCCACATGTTTGTCATTTTTGTCAACCATGTTTGTAATGTTTTTTGCATCACAAATCAATACATATAAAGTATACAAATTATTAGTAATTACAATACAAAGCGACGTGATTTGCAGCACAAATCAATACATATAAAGTATACAAATTAATATTACAAAACATACAAACTATACAAATCATACTGACATTTTGTACAAAAATACTAACAATACAAACTAATGTTATAAAACATACAAACTATACAAATCATACAAACTAATGTTACAAAACATACAAACTATACAAATTACTAATGTTACAAAACATAAAAACTATACAAATCATAGTGACATTATGTACAAAAGTACTAATGATACAAACTGACAACACTTTCATTACAAACCATTGTTCTTCCTTCATACGACAAATTGTATTCCACCGTTGCCGCCGCCGACACTCTCTACCGTCGCGACCTCTCTCTCTCTCTCCATCATCGCGCCGTTTCTCTTTCCTCCACCATAGTCGACGCTCTCTCTGCCATAGCCCCTCTCTCTCCTCCACCATCGTCTCTCTCTCTCTCCTCTGTTTTCCCGACAACGGGCAGATCTACTTTCTCTCTCTACCACTGCCTCCGTCGTAGTCGTCTTGCCCTCTCTCTATCGTCGCCGGAGTCGTCGTTGAGATCTCCTCGTCGTCGCCCCCCCTCTCTTCCACCGTCGCTGTCCTTCTCTCCCCGCTGCTTCTCTCTCTCTCTCTCTCTCTCTCTCTCTCTCTCCTACGGCTTGCAATGGCAACGCAGAAGAGGATGGATGGAGGAAAAATCGCGATCTCCTTTCCCTCTCTTCACCGTCGTCGGCGCCGTCGCAATTTCCTCCAGCGTAGCGTCGCCGTCTTTCTCTTTCTCTCTCTCCTCCTCCGCCATGGCTTCTCTCTCTCTCTCTGGACATTGCAAAAAAGGGAAAGGGAAGAGACGTGCAGATGAAAAAAAAGAATTCAATAATAATAAATAAAACAAAATCAAAAAATAGAAGTTAATAATTTATTAATAATGTCAAAACTACCCTTCTCATTTAATAATAATTAATAGATTTATCTGGACCATCAGATCAATCCAAAGGCTGAGGGGGGCTTAGTCAAGTGACTAAGGACCCCCTTAGTCACCCGATCCGGACTCCACAAATATACAAATGTCTCTTCTCCTCCTGGTGGGATGAAAAATACAGCAATCAAACCATTTCTCACTCCTATCACCATCCGCATCAGTCCAATGTTTGATGACTCGAGTTGACTGACCCATTCAAAGTCTTCCCACTTTGGCCGTGTATTCTTTTACAAGTACAATACCAACCCTGATATATGTGGCTTCAGGTTCAAGGGACTCTGCAGTCTTCCCCCATTCACTGCGCACCTTGTAACTTGTAAGCCACGGTAGGTCTTTGGAGCTGAGTGCCATTCTTGTCATCATTCTTTCCCCATGCAACTACTTACTACTAGCCATAGCTTAAAGATAACCTCTTCCATGGCTGCTGAGATCTAATTGGCTTATACGATTTTAGCTGTAATGATAACCCCTCTAATAACCTCCACACACTTCGTTGTAATACCATCGAGTTCGTTGTTTGTTTTGAGACTTTTGACTAGTCGGCCATTTTCATAATGGATCGATGCATCAATGTCACGACTAGTTTTCCGTGGATCGGAAAACATAAGAAACGACAAAGCAAGAAAAAATGAAAGCAAGAACGAACACGACACACCGATTTACGTGATTCACTCATACGATGTGAGTTAGCTAGTCCACGAACAGGAGAGAGCCAGTTTCACTACACTTTGAGGAAATACATATTACAGAGGAGTATGAGAATTGTTTATGGCATTTCTCCATTTGATTTAACCCTAATCCAATCTAATACATGAAAACAGTTACAACGTACAAACCATGACAAGAACAGAAACCCAAATTACATTGAGCCCATAAACTGTGGATCGGGGCCGTTGCCCACGAGCCCCCATCAAGAGAAGCATCGCCCTCCGTGACTTCCAATGATAGCGAGATAGCCCGATTCAAGTCATGTTAACAAAGTTTTGGTTTCTTTTCCCCCCCCCACATCCAATCCTCACTTGCAAGGAACTGTGTATAAATGCAGAGGGACTCTCTGGATCCTGTTCATACATTATTCACCCACTAGCTATTCTTCCACGAGTAGAATACCAACCATGATTCAGTTCCTACTCATCATGCAGTTAATCCAACGCTGCCTCTTCTTCCTCTCCACCACCACTGCTGCTGCTGCTGCTGCTGGTAGCTATTACAATAACGACCAACGTGATGCAGCAGCTCTTCTCCAACTCAAAGCGCACATCATCACCGCCGCCGCTTCTTCTTCCGATCATCCTCTCTCCCGCAACTGGACGGCGGGGAGGACATCCGAAGTCTGCACCAACTGGGTCGGCGTCTCTTGCGGGCGCCGCCACAGGAGAGTGACCTCCTTGAATCTGGCGAACATGGGGCTGCAGGGGACTCTGCCTCCCCACATTGGCAACCTCTCCTTCTTGCTCTCCCTCGACCTCAGCGACAATCTCTTAGGTGGTGATTTGCCGATGGAGCTGTCTAAGCTGCGTAGATTGAAGACCATCAACTTGTCTACCAATCGGTTTGGAGGTACAATCCCGTGGTCGCTTGGGGGTCTTAGTGGTTTAAGGGAGCTGGATTTGGGTCACAACAGGCTTTCAGGGGCCATACCAACCACAATCTTCAACATTTCTTCTCTGGAGACACTGATATTGGCACACAACGGCCTTTCCGGGAGCCTGCCTGATGATATGTGCATCAAGTTTGCTCTGACAGCAGGGCCAATTCCATCATCATTGGAGGGGCATTGTAGCAATCTTCAGTTCCTGTCGCTCTCCGGGAATTGGTTTACTGGAACGATCCCAAAGAGTATCGGGAATTTGACCGCACTAACATTTCTGTCCTTGGGGGAAACAAACTTAACGGGTACGTACTATTAGCTAGCACGAGTTCATTTATTGGTGGTTTCATAGAGTGGAAAATGAAACGTACGCGGAGCAAGGTTCTAAAAAAAAACGTGTCTAGGCACTCGCCTAACCCTGTTTAGGCCTCAAGTCATAAGGAAACGGTTCGTCTTTAGGCGTGTTCCTAGCCGCCAGGCTAGAGTTAGAGACCACCATATTTAGAGTAGCTTCTTATTTCTTTTTTGCGCTTCTTCGCTCTCAATCTGCTTCGCTATTTTCAAACTTCTTCTTCCTTTATCATTTCGCCTCATTATGTTTTATACTTTACCATGAGTTGTTGATGAGGTTTAGAAATGAGAGGCAGATGCAATAATATTGGTTCATAAATTTGTGGTTATATGCAAATGTGAAATATTTTGCTACGTTTACATCTAATGATTAGGCACGCCTAAGTAGGGCTGGGCATGCGGGTGGATCATCCGCGGGTTTGGGCCGACCCACCCGCATTTGACCCGAATTTCGTTAAGTGGGTGGGTCTGTGGGTGGGTGACGGGTTGCGCTAGGAGCCATCCGCCGGGCGGTGGGTGGGTTGTGGGTGAGTGTGCGGGTGACCCGCTCAACCCAACAGCAAAAAGATCAAAGTCGTTGGCGCTAGAGAGAGGAGAGTGGAGACGTTAGATATAAACTCGGACTGCTCCTGGAGTTTGAAGCTCAAAGCCAACCTTCCAAATAGAGATCCCCTCTTCTTCCCTTTACTTTTTCCTCTAATTTTTGTGCCTAGATCACCGCTCTTTTCTTTGTGGAATTATTTTCCTTAGTTCCTTGCACCTAATAATCATCTCAATTTGTAGAAAACTCTTTCATAATAGAATTTCTATCCAATTTAAGAACTAATTCGACATTTTCCGCCCTATTTCAACTTCTTGTTTCCCTCGATGATTCTCTTCACCTATTATCATTTCAAGTTGACTCCTTTATATTATATACATTGTAATGTGGGTGAACCCACAAACCCACCCGCATCATCCACCATCCGCCCGACCCAACCCGAGACTAAATGTGGGTGGGTGGTGGGTTAAAAATTATCAATCCATTTAAGCGCGGGTGGGTGCATTTTATGGTCAAAATCCACCCGACCCACCCAATGCCCACCCCTACGCCTAAGCATGCTAGGCGCTGGGCAGAGCATCAACGCTCGCCTTCGCTTAATGCTTTCTTGAACCTTAATATTACATAAAATAACGCACCAATTGTTTTATAATATTGCAGGTGAGATACCGTCTGTAATAAGCAATCTTAGAAGATTAGAGATACTGAGGTTGTGGGATGCTGGCCTTTCCGGTACAATTCCTTCCGCGATATTCAATATTACGACTCTTCAAGTCGTGGATCTGTCTACAAATACGTTATCAGGAATTTTGCCGGACGATTTATTTTCTCGTGCACCGAACCTCGAACAGTTACGTCTGTTTGATAACCAGCTACAAGGTGCGATTCCTAAGAGTATTGGAGATTGTGCAAGCCTAGTGGGTGTAGAGTTATCTACCAATCAGTTCTCTGGAAGGATTCCAACAACGATTGGGAATTGCACCATGCTCGAGTGGTTATTTGTGGCCGAAACTAAATTGACAGGTACGATCTGTATTTTATTCGTTTGATTGCATGTTTATTTTTCATTAGGTTTTTTAGTTAATATTGAGATTGCAGATTTGTTAAGGGTGGTTTTTATTTATGTTGTACTTGTCTTAGTTTAGTCCACGGTTGGACCGTCTTTGTTTCGTGAACTTCTTTTGGTCCATTTTGTGGTTAAGATAGTGAAACGGTCAGACAGAGGCGGTTCATCTGGTTTCAAATCCAAGTGCTAAAAATCGTTTAGTCCATTTCTAATTGTCCAAGTTAATAAATCGAACCATTATTGTAACTGATTTGACGGTTCTAATGATTCAATCATTGATATGATTCAATCATAACAATAACACATAAGAATATACAAATTATGTTCAAAACACATACAAATGAACTCACAATGAATACAAATCATGTTCAAATTTAAGGGGGTGAAATGTGACAATTAGAAGATCTTAATTTGATTATAAACCAAAATAAAATTTTCACTTGTGAATATGATAATTTGCATTTTTTTCCCCATTTCCATAGGGGCTAAAAGCTCGTTGCTACTATTTGGCATAGTCGATAAATGTCTAAAACGTAACAAAAAGGTCACACGAGTGTTATTATATAACAAAAAAGTTATTCCATGTCTTTCCATCTATATTTTGATCCAAAATGCGCAATTAGCTTCACTCGGGATAACAGGTAATTTTACAGGTTGATTAGGTGTCTGATAATTTTTTTGAATACAACATTCTCTTCGCTCTAGCAGCTAGCATTCAGTTAATATTGCTCTCATTGGCTGACATATCCTTTTTTTTATATAAAAATGGATTGTATATAGGTGAAATTCCCATTGAGTTGGGTAATCTAAATGCTCTCGAAATACTCGTCCTGCGTTTTAACAAGCTAAGTGGATCAATCCCCAAGACCATATTCAACATTTCCTCCTTAAGGGTGATAGAGTTTTCTTTTAATGAACTATCAGGGAATCTCCCAATAACTGCATTGGGCTCTCAACTTGCCAATCTTGAGTGGCTTGATGTATTCGGTAACAACCTCATTGGAAGTATCCCGCCCTCAATCTCCAATGCTTCTAAGCTCGAGGTTTTGGAGCTATCTAACAACACATTCCACGGTCGTGTTCCTGATGCCCTTAGCAATCTGCCATCTATCCGAAATTTACAAATATGGGACAACGGAGACCTGGTTGTTCCTCCTTCCTTCCTCGCTTCTTTAACAAAGTGCACTCATTTGGAAGTGTTGGAATTTTCATCCACTCTGGTTGAGGCTGCGCTGCCAAGTTCCATAGGCAATCTCTCCTCGTCTATGGTACGAATTCAAGCACAGAAGTGCGGGTTAATTGGCTACATCCCAGATGCAGTTGGTAACTTGAGCAACTTAGTGGGCCTCGACCTCTCATCCAATCGATTAAGTGGATCCATTCCGCGAGCAATACGACGATTGAGGAAGCTTCAGGGCTTGGCTCTTGATGGTAATGAGTTGCACGGACCCATTCCTGATGAACTCTGTGAGTTGCAAGCGTTGGTGGAACTATCCTTGAACAACAACAGCCTTTCTCAGCAAGTTCCAGAGTGCTTAGCCAAACTGACTTCTCTTCAAGCTCTGTACTTGCAATCCAACCAGTTCAGCTCTGCGATACCTTCTTCGTTCTGGAACCAAAGATCCTTGATAACGTTGAACATGGCAGGAAACCGTCTAAACGGCCATCTTCCACCACATATCAGCAACTTGAAAGCCTTGGTTGAGATGAACTTGGCAAGGAATCGATTGTCAGGTGATATTCCTGCAAGCATTGGAGGTCTTGTCAATTTACAGTACTTGTATATGGATCAAAACCACTTCCAAGGCCCCATTCCAGATACTCTGGCCAGCATCGTCACTTTGAAATCCTTGGATCTCTCGTCCAATAATCTATCTAGCAGCATCCCGAAATCCTTGGAGTCACTGAGGGATTTGCAATATTTCAATGTATCACATAATCAGTTATGGGGAGAAATACCCAGCAAAGGCTCGTTTGAACAATTTTCCTCTGATTCATTCAAGGGGAATCCTGCACTATGTGGGTTACCCAAGTTTGGATTTCCGTCGTGTCCTCAACCCAGGGGAAAGAAACGTGGACAGAAGCACTTATTAATCAAGTTATTGATTTTACTCATTCTATTCCTAGTGGTTGTTGCTATTGCTGCTCTATTTGTGGTGATGATTTGCTGCCGGAAACGGAAAGTAGATGAAAGAAGCAACGGGAGAGAGGAATCACCTTTGACTAAATGGAGACGGATTTCCTTACTAGAGCTTCAAAGAGCAACTAATGGATTTGATGATTGCAACTTGTTGGGCAAAGGGAGCTTTGGTCGTGTATACAAAGGGGAGTTAGCCGATGGAATCGATGTAGCTGTGAAGGTGTTCAATGATTTAGAAGAAGAAGAAGAAGAAGAAGAAGCCGATGAGGCTACGATTGACGTTCATCGCGAATGTGAGATTTTGTGCAATCTTCGCCACAGAAATCTGATCAAAATCGTCAGCATCTGTTACACAATCGATTTCAAGGCATTAGTGTTGGAGTTCATGCCAAATGGAAGCTTGGAGAAGTGGCTATATTCTCACAACTATTTCTTAAACATCCTACAGAGATTGAACATTGTGATAGATGTTGCATCCGCTCTCGAGTATCTCCACCACGGTTATTCGATTCCGATTGTTCATTGTGATGTGAAGCCCGAGAACGTGTTGCTGGACGGAGATCTAGTCGCTCGTCTAAGTGATTTCGGCATTTCCAAGTTGCTAGGCGGCATTGATTCTATCACTCGAACATTAATGTTGGGCACCATTGGATACATAGCACCAGGTTCGTGTTAAAAGTACAAGTTACAGTTTTATGCATATTATTGTCTGTATGCAATTATTGGTTCCATGCTTTGTGATTGCAGAGTTTGGTGGGGAAGGAGTTGTGTCGATCAAGAGCGACGTGTATAGTTTCGGTATTCTACTAATGGAAGTTTTCACGAGAAGGAAACCCACAGAAGAATCATTTGACAAGGGTATGGACATGAAGCAATGGGTTACTGCATTACTACCTGAGAGAGTGACTGAGCTTGTTGATGCAAATTTGTTGGTCGATGAAGCAAGAATAAACCTCAAGGCTAAAGTCGATTGCATATTGTCAATTATGAAGCTCGCATTAGCGTGTTGCATAGACACTCCAAAAGACAGGATGGATATTAGGGATGTACTTTCCAATCTCAAGAAGATAAAGTCACAAATCTCGAAACCGAGGCACTTGAGAATTTAAATAGGTGGAGTGGATTCGTACTTATAATTAGCGTTGAAGTTGGGATAATATTAATATGTTGTTGATGATAAGTGTAATGAAAATCCTGGATAGCTATAACGTACGTATTTATTGTGTTGTATGTGATTCAATCTGAAACTTTAAACGTTATTAGTTTCTTGGTCCGCGCTTCGCAACGATAAGAAACTAATTATATTTTAAAATTATATTAATTTTTAATAAAAAATTAAAAAAATTAGGTAAATTACACAACATAATAAAATCAAGTTACGAATTTACGATAAAAATACATTTGATTAAAATGTTCAAAATAACTGAAGTGGATTTGATGGAAATGCACAATGATAATCTTCTTTAAAATCTCGCTATATGTGATTTCATATCTAAAACATTTGTTTAACTGATACATCAGAAATATCTATATTATAGTTTGAGTCGAGGTCTTTCTTCGGTTCAAGTACGGCTGAATTAATGATGAGTGTGTAAAATAGTTATGTGGCTTCTTCACTCCTGCAATAGAAGCACATATTGACATGCACCAAGTACAATTTAAGTTTAACTTCCCACTTCAGTAAACCCCTCTCCTCCTGCAACTTACTTGAAACAAATTGAAATCAGTTACCGTAAGCTTTTGCACTGCAAAATCAGAACCCAAACTCGGTTCGGCAAACACCAAAACATCGTGGGTTCGACGTTTCTATGGATCCTTTCGAGGATGCAGATGCAGCAGGTTTCTTAAGCTCATTGACAGAGATAACAGCAGGAAATGCAATCTACAAGCACAAGACAGCAACCAATGGTTTATCAAATGGGCTGATAGATAGGTCCTCTGATTCTCCAGGAACCAAACCGAGTCACAGCTTAACATATGGCAAATGGATTCTGCGCTCTCTGTCATAAGGAATATCAAACAGAGGGGAAATTGAGTGTTCCAAAGGGACCTGTAAAAGAAACACAGCATCAACGATGAACTCACTGAGAAACTACTGCAACATTGTCAATTACGCCGGTCTACGAAGTTTGATCTGTGGATCTGTGCAGGAACTTCCTTTAGAAAAGTAATTGACCACTTTCAAAGGCATGGTGTCGGCCTCCACAATCAATGACTCCAACCTCGTAAAGGGAGAGGGGTGTTGTTCCAGAAACCCACAAATGTCGCTCAATTCCTGCACAAATCAGAAGCCAAAACTTAGAATCTAAGGTAATATCCTCAGGAAGACAGCCACCTATATTGCAGCAATGTCAGACTACAGATTACCTGAATGCTAAAGGAATCCAGCACGAGAGATGTCGCATTGCTCAAACCTTTGAACAAGGCGATCACAATTAGCGTCGGCCATTCGATGATAGTCGCGCTCAGTTCATTGGAAGCAAACTTAATATCAGCATGAAGAACCAAGGAAGGAACGCTTAACTTGGATAATTCATGAATTTCCAGGACATTCCAGAAACTGAAGAATTCGAGCTTCGGTGCAGATATTTCAACCTTGGTGTTCAGCAGATTATCCAGTATTTTCAAGCTAAGCAATTGAGGTCCTGATATCTTGAAAATCCTTTCATCCCCCCAGCAGAAGAGCGGTCCTTATGGAGAATACAATGATGCAGGACCAAATTCTTCAGGGAGGCAAAATCAGAAAAAAGATCGAAGTCATCCTTATCAGAACCCAGCAGGCATCGGTCTAGACATAAAGTGGTCAGTACCCGAAAACCAGAAGGTCTAGACAAAAAGTGGTCAGTACCCGAAAACCAGAAGGTCTAGACAAAGATAAACCCCAACTCTAGAGTTGCGAGATCAGAATCCAAGTCCGAGCCAAACAAGTCCGAGAGCTTGTAACTGCCTTCGTAATCCAACAAATTGTCGAGGTCAATCACTAAATGTCGAGCCACTTTGAAGAAGAAGAGGTTTGGAGAATTGTCAGGAAATGTAAGGGTGACAAAGCTCCAGGTCCGGATGGTTTCTCCTTGGAATTCTTTAAAAAGTGCTGGGATGTGATCAAGGTTGATTTGCTGAAAGCCCTGGAAGATTTCTATTGTAGAGGGGTATTGCCTAATTGCATTGCCCACTCCTTCCTCTGCCTCATCCCGAAAAAAGATACCGTGGTTGATGTGAAAGATCTCCGACCGATTAGTCTGATTGGCAGTGTCAACAAAATTATCTCGAAGGTGCTCACAGAAAGATTGAAGCCGATTATGGGTAAGCTTATATCTGGGAATCAGTTCTCTGGAACGCGCGGGAGACAAATACATGAAGCCTCGTTAATCGCGAATGAATTGGTGGATAGTAGGAGAAAAAGTGGGAAAGCGGGACTTATCTTCAAGCTTGACATCGAAAAGGCATTTGACAATGTCAATTGGGAATGCCTCTTCAGGACTCTGGATAGTTTTGGTTTTCCTGGGGTCTTTCAGAATTGGATTCGTGGCTTGGTGTCTTCGGCGCACATCTCGGTCTTGGTGAATGGAGAAGCTGCTGGTTTCTTTAAGCCTGGCAAAGGCCTTCGGCAGGGTGATCCTTTGTCCCCTTTTCTTTTCAATCTCATTATGGATGTTCTCTCTATGATGCTGGAACAGTTGAGAGAGGCGGGCCTCATATCTGGGTTCTGTATGGACGAGGGCTCCAGGAGGGGTGAAGTCACCCATCTATTATACGCAGATGATACCATTATTTTTTGTGACGCGGATGAAGATCAAGTGATGCATATTCTTGCATCCATTGTCTGCTTTCAAACAGTTACCGGGCTCAGAATCAATGTGGAAAAGAGTAAAATGCACCCAGTTGGCTGTGTGGAGAATCCGGAAAGGTTTGCTGCTCTGTTTGGCTGTGGTTGGAACCATCTCCCGACGATCTATTTGGGACTTCCTCTGGGTGCAAGTCCCAATTCTGTTTCGATTTGGAATCCGGTGTTGACGAGGTTTCAGTCCAGATTAGAGGGTTGGAGAGGCAAATTTCTGTCTTTTGGGGGAAGGCTTATTCTTGCTAGCAGTGTCTTGTCTAGCCAGCCCCTCTTCCTTGGATCTCTTTGCAGAGCTCCTAAGGCGGTCATTGGGAAGATGGAAAAATCTCAAAGGAAGTTCATTTGGTCTGGAACCCTGGATAAAAGTAAATACCACCTTGCCAATTGGCAATTGTGTAAAGCCTCAAAACAGAATGGTGGTTTGGGTATTTTGGATTTAGAGAGCATGAATTCTGCCCTCCTATCTAAATGGCTTTGGAAGTATGCAACGGATAAGGAGGCCTGGTGGAAGGAGATGATTTCTATCAAGTTTCCTAACCCTGTGTCTGTTTGGAAAACTGGTCAGGGTGGTGGGAGGATGGGATGCTCACCTTGGAAATCGATTGTCAAAGAAAACCCGTCTTTTTGGAAATATGCTATGGTTGACCCGGGAGGTGGTGCGTGGGTTTCCTTCTGGCAGGATCGTTGGAACCATGGTACGACACTCGCCGAGTCTTTCCCCAGAGTTGCCGCCGCTTCTGCTCTCCCTCAAGGTTGGGTCTCCGAGTTTATATCCTTTTCTTCTGAGGGGGTGAGTTGGACTCTTCCTCTTAATTTTTCTCTGAGAGGGGGGGCTGAGAGGGAGAGGAGCGAGCTTTTTAATTTTCTGTCAAACCTTCCTCTTGGTTGGATTTCTTGTGGTCCTTGCAGGATGGTTTGGCTACCTGACCCAAAAGCAGGTTTCTCTGTGCACTCGATGTATCGCAGCATCTGTGACGAGAAGTTCCCTGGAGTGATGGATTTCCCAGTTCGTGCGGTGTGGCGTTCTAAGGCTCCTTCGAAGGTCAATGGTTTTGCGTGGCTTCTTTGTCACAACCGCATCCTCACGCATGAAAATCTGAAGAAGCGCGGCTGGAACGTGGTGAGCAGATGTGCGTTGTGTGAATCTGATTCTGAGACAACTTCACATCTTTTCAGAAGCTGCGAGTTTAGCATGAGGATTTGGGACAGGTTCTTGAGCGTCCTGTCCATTGTGGGCCCCTTCCCGCATGCTCTGAAGCAAGTGTTTGGGTGCTGGAGCTTCAATGATCCTTGTGTTTGGACGGATTGGTTTCGACAGCTGTTGCTTCATGCGTTTGTATGGGAGATTTGGAAAGAACGAAATGGCAGAGTTTTCAATGACAGGAGCAAGTCCTGGCAGGCTGTGTTTCACAGGATCGGATGCACGCTTCGACATTGGATATTGGATGCGGGGATGATTAGTGAGCAAGAGGCTAGAACGTGGTCGAGTATGATGGCGCGGGCGTGTCCCTCTTCTTGAGCGTTTCTGATTTGCTTCTTCTGTTTTGTGCTTCTAGTTGGTTTCCCCCCTGTTCTCTTCCTCCTTTTTTCTTTTGGCGAATTGGTGGGGTGTCCCTCCTTTTTCCCTTAAGTTTGTTTTTTGTGTCTGTACTCTGTATACACCTCTGGTGTATTTTCTTGGCAATGCATTTTCATCATTATCAAAAAAAAAATCACTAAATGTCGAGCTTTATGGGATAGAGCATACTCGATGATCTCGACAAACGAACTAACATCTCGACCCTCCGAACTATAACCGCAATCTATGTAGCTCAGCTTCTGGACATTGAGTTTGTAGCGGAGCGACAAAACCTGAGACACAAAGGTTCTGAAACTTGGATACTCTTCGAAGGAATCGCTACGGAGGTCAATATTAGCGACATGCTTCCAAGCACTTCGCCATGCTCGCAACAACACAGAGGTTTGTACGACAGACTTGGTGTCGCGAAACGAAAGGATGTGATGAATAATGTGTTCTGGAAGATGACCTAATCTGTCCGAGCACATTTTTCCAACTTCTAAAAGCATTACGAACACTTTGAGTTTTTTCCCTGGATGAACGGACTAATGTCATAATATATATACAAGGCTTACAAAATCGTTTCCTAACCAACATAGGATTCTTCTTCCCCAAGTAACAATTAAACAACCGAATGTCCTAAATAAGAATAATAGATATATTCGTGGCCTTGCTTTCATAGCATAGGATAAAGCCAATGTTCAAGAAAATCAATCGTGACAATAACAAGTGGAGTTATATGGTTCACCTCAATGAATAAGTTTGGAGTCGGCATTGTTCTTAAATAACTTAAAACTTCTGATCAACAACCGAAAGGCGAAAAGTAATAGCCACAGAGAGCAATGATTCTGCGATGCATCGCAAAGGGTTATCATCGAGTCGCGCGGTCAAGAGACTCGATTCATATACCAGAAACCAAGCTAACAAGTTACTACAACGATCATCAGAACAATCTGTTTAAGCCTTAAGCAATGACAAGAAAGGGATATCTGTGAGCATCACCAGATAAACCTGATAAGAAAAAGGGCACTACCAAGTACTAACCTATTGCATATAGTTGTTCCAGGAGCTTCTCACAGATTGGTCTTCCACTATATGATCATTCAAGAAAGTACTTGGGGAGTCTGTAAGGTACACTCTCCAAAGCTAGAATCAAGGACTTCAAACTCGTAAAAGGAGACCGCTGCTCCCCCAAACCACCAACTGAATTCACTCGGTACCTACTGAGAGAGAACAAAAACAAACCACAAAAATGCATGGCGATGTGATATGAGATATTCTGCTGTTTATATGATCAGAAGCTATAGCAAACTGGTCGATTACCTTTACAGCTAGACAAACTGGACATTTGGTTCTGTGGTAGAGGATCCTTTGAGAAAGCAATCGACCACTTCGTAAGGTATGCTACTTGACGACACATTCAAATGAGTCAATCTAGTAAAGTCAGTTGGTTGTTCCAGAAACTCATCAAGACCACTCAGCACCTGAACAGAATAGAACAAAACCGAACTTGATAAGCGAGGTAATGCATATTCTCTGAAGAAAACCATCCCACTTAGAAGCAACAATGTTCAACCTAAGTGTACCTGGATGGTTTTGGAATGCAGGGTTAGACAGATTGCATTATGCAAACTTTTGAAAAAGGAGACCAAATGCTTCTTTTTTGCCATGGAATCCGGATAGAAAAGGATATCAGCATGATCGAGGGAAGGAAGACTCAACTCTGAGAATGCTGAGCAAAAACCCGCAATTTCTGAAATATGCAACAGCTTGAGTTTGGGAGCATCTAATTCAAACTTGCGAAATTTCATAAGTTCGAGTTTCAGGCTAAGCAATTGGAGCCCGGAAACCTTGAAACTCCCTCCACGCAAGTGACGGGGAACCCTGTTGGAACTATTAGTCAAGGACAAATTCTGGAGACAAGGGAAGTTCGAGAATGGATCAAGGTCCTCCACCTGCTCAAAAGAAAAGTTGCACCAATCCAACTTCAAAGTGGTCATCCTCTGAAAACCAAAAGACCGAAACCCACTATCGATGGCGATACTGCGTAATTCTAGGGTTCTGATATTGCAATTCAAGATCGAACCAAACAAATCCGAAAATCTGAGATAGCGATGGAAACGAATCCTATCGCCTATGGCTAAATGTTGAGTATCATGGCACAAGGCATATTGGACAACCCTGCCAAATTGACTATCAGCTCGTTCCTCCTCTGAACTTTCATTAGAGATGTAGGTCAACTTTTCGACATTAACAAGATAACGGAGGGACAGAACTTTGTCGACATACCTCCGGTAACTCGGATACTGGCTGAAGGAATTGCTACAGAAATCCAGAACAGGGACATTTTTCCAAGCGGATCTCCAAGCTCGGGACAAGATGGAGGTTTGAACACCGGCTTTCGTGTCGAGGAATGAAAGGATGTGATAAATAATGGGTTCTGGAAGATGGGTTAACCTGTCACTGGTAGTACCAGTATTATTAGTCTCTTCTTCATCTTCCTCGCGGCGCCATTTTCCAGCTTTACCCAACTCGCTGCCGGAGCTGTTACTTTTCATATCCCATCGGCGCCTTTTCCCAGCTTTCCTTAACCCGCTGGTCATAGCTTTCTATTGACCGTGAACTGCAGAGGAACTTCAACCCTAGAAAGGTCTGTCACCGGGGGATATACTATTGTCGTCGCCGGTGCAAGAAAGAATCCAACTTCGGCGAGCGAACACAAACTGCGATGAGTCTTGGCGAGACGCCTGCAGAAGACTGTAGAGGGAATTGCGCCGTGGCCGGTGAGCTACATTTCACTTGTCGACATTAGGGTTTCGCAGCTCCGATGCAGGTCGGAGGGAAAATGTCAAAATGAAGCGGGGAATGTAACGATCGTTGATCAAGTAATTATAAAAAATTCAAATAAGCACCTGTACTTTTAGTCGTCCAACGCATTACTCCATATACTCTCATTTGCAACAAACAAGTCCTCTTATGGGGAACTAAAGAAAGCCATCTAGTTTAGGGCTGGGAAATGATGCGGTCTGGTTCAGACCAGACCATATATACGGTCTATGGTCCAAACCGAGAGGCTGAAGTATAGACCACAAACCAGACCACAGATTATACGGTTTGGTCCAGACCACACATGTGCGGTCTGGTTCGGTCTGGTCTGGTCCAGATAGACCACACTGAATGAAAAATGAACAATTTGTTTAGTCAACCACACAAAAAATTGAACAAATAACCAAGAAAAATAATTGTTATTTGCCTTAAAATGTTAATCCTAACATGCATGAATAATTTTGATACCCTAAATCTTAGTACATAAGAAAGATACAAAGTAAAAGCATCCCAACTTGCACCAAAACGTCATAAAAATCAACATAATGTCATATGGAGACACAATTATCTCTACTCTCTGGTTAAATGCGGTTGTGAATGAAGGAGGGATGAGATTCACAAAATTAAGGTTGAGACTTGGGTGTCGTTGTGGGAGTTTGGAGAGTTGTCGAATGGGTTGTTAACACGTATTGACAAGTCGGTTGGGTCCACGATTTGGTACGGTAAACCGCGGTCTAGACCAGACCAGACCAAGAGATCAAAACATAAAATAATACAGACCATGGACCAGACCAGACCATACTTAACGGTCTACGGTCCGGACCAAACTGTGCGGCACGGTTTGGACCACGGTTTTTCTAACGATCTGGTCTATTTTCCCAGCCCTTTCTCGAGAAAAGTTAATCTGCTAACTTGAAAATTCGTTAGTAGATACTAACTGATATTCAAAATAAATGAATTAGTATCCAAGTACTAAAGTATCTAGAGAGCACATACTAGTATTCAAAATTTGCTAACTGATATCCACCATGAATCAACTATTATCCCAAATTCACAAACTAATATCTAAACAACACAGAATAGTATCCATACAATACATAAATTGTATCCAGATAACACATAAGAGTATCTAAATAATACATAAGAGATATTAGTTGGTATCTGCTATCGGGATACTAGTTTGTCATATTTTGAATACTAGTATATGATATCTAGATACTTAGCAGACTTGGATATTAGTTCATACATTTTGGATATTAGTTAGTATATACTAACAAATTTTCAAAATTCAAGTTTCAAAATTCAAGTTAGCAGAATAACTAAGATATTCCATCCAATTTTTCACAAGAAAACCTATCCATTTAATTAAGCCATGAATCCAAACTAATAAAAATAAAAAGATACATAAAAGCCAGCCTAGTTATTCTGCTAACTAGAAAATTCGTTAGTATATACTAACTAATATCCAAAATGTATGAACTAATATCCAAGTCTGCTAAGTATCTAGATATCATATACTAGTATTCAAAATATGACAAACTAGTATCCCGATAGCAGATACCAACTAATATCTCTTATGTATTATTTAGATACTCTTATGTGTTATCTGGATACAATTTATGTATTGTATGGATACTATTCTGTGTTGTTTAGATATTAGTTTGTGAATTTGGGATAATAGTTGATTCATGGTGGATATCAGTTAGCCAACTTTAAATACTAGTTTGTGCTTTCTAGATATTTTAGTACTTGGATACTAATTCATGTATTGTGGATATCAGTTAGTATCTGCTAACGAATTTTCAAGTTAGCAGATTAACTTTTCCCCATAAAAGCCCGTTCATGCTCTCAAATATAAGATGGTAAAGAATGACTTAATGATTTGCGTAGAAAAATTATGTTTTTTTTAACAAGAGATAATGGAAAAATATATCAGTAAAACCTGGAAAACAACGAGACGAAAAAATCAAAAAGCGACTCATAATCGGGTATAAATAAAGAATCTGTCGAGCCACCAAATAAGCTACCCTATTATTACACCGACCAACAAATCACACAGTCAACCAATTATGCATCCTCAACATATGCGAGACCTCTAGAAAGATGGCACTCGCACAACTATCATGGCCATTAGCACAATTGAACTTATCAATCACCCACTTGAGCATCACCTTCAAACCAAACCTCCAAGAACCCAAGCTCCAGACACCATTTGATAGCTTCGCGGAGAACAAGAAGCTCCACCACGAAGGGATCATCAATTACTATAAACTGAATCCCACGAGCAAAAAGAATCAAACCTCCAGCAGTATCAAATTGAAATCAGTTACTGTAAGCTTGCGCTCTGCAAAATCAGAACCCAAACTCGGTTTGGCAAACACCATAACAACGTGGGTTCGACATTTCTATGGATCCTTTCGAGGACGAAGATGCAGCAGGTTTCTTAAGCTCATTGGCAGAGATAACAGCAGGAAATGCAATCTGTAAGCATAAGACAGCGCCCAATGGTTTATCGAAGGAACCAATAGATAGGGTCCATTGCTACTTCAGAATCAAAGTGAGCTAACAGCTTAACTTACGGCAAAGTGATTCAGAGCTTCTCTGTCAGAAGGAATAACAACAGAGAGGGGGAATTGGGTGTTCCAAACTGACCTGAACATGAAAGACAACATGAATGATGAACTCACTGGGCTAAGCAAGAAACTTCTTCAGGATTGTCAGACTTCAACTGCAGGTGAAGCTTGATGTTTGGAACTTTGCAAGAACTTCCTTTAAACAAGTAATTGGCCAGTCTGAAGGGTTTAGTGACAGCCTCCAAAATCAATGTCTCCAATTTCGTAAGGGGAGAGGGGTGTTGTTCCAGAAAGTCAATGTTGTCCATCAATGCCTGCACAAAAAAACACAAGCCACCAGACAAGAATCTAAGGTACTAACCTCAGGAAAAACAACCACTTATGTCGTAGCAATATCCAAATAGGGATTACCTGAATGCTAGAGGAATCCAGCACGAGAGATGTTGCATTGCTCAAACCTTGTAACAAGGGGAACAAAATTAGCATCGGCGATTGGATGTTCCATGCCGACAGGTCATAGCACCAGAACCTAATATCAGCATGAACCAGGGAAGGAACGCTTAACTTGGGCAATCCATCAATTGCCTGGACATTCCAAAAAGAGAAGAATTCGAGCTTCGGTGCAGATATTTCAACCTTGATGTACAGCGAATTATCCAGCATTTTCAAGCTAAGCAATTGAGGTCCTGATATCTTGAAACTCCTTTTATATTTGTTGGAACACTCGATAAAGCAAGAATGCAGGACCAAATTCTTCAGGCAGGCAAAATTAGGAAAAGGATCGATGTCCTCCTCCTGATCGATGTCCTCCTCCTGATCATAACCCAGTGTGCAGCGATCCAGATGTAAAGTGGTGAGCGCTCGGAATCCAGAAGATCCGAATCCACGGTCGACAGTGACATACCCTAATTCCAGAGTTGCGAGATTGGAATCCGTGACCGAGCCAAACAAGTCAGAGAACAGATAACTGTATTCGTCGTTCGAAACTTCCCCGAGGTCAATCACCAAATGCCGTGTACCATGGGATAGAGCATACTTGATGACCTTCACAAACAGACTAAAATGTGAGACCTCCGAATCATGATAGTAGTATTTGTAGCTCACCTTCTGGACATTGAGGTCGTAGCGGAGGGACAAAACCCGGGACACAAAGCTTTTGAATTTCCGAAACTTTTTGAAGGAATTGCTATGGAGGTCAATGGCAGGGACATGCTTCCAAGCACGTTGCCATGCTCGCGACAGTACAGAGGTTTGAACGACAGATTTGGTGTCCAGAAACGAAAGGATGTGATAAAGAACAGATTCTGGAAGATTACTTAACCTGTCGGAGACCGTTCTTCTAACTTTTTTGCAATTGTTCATCGCTTTCTCTGAAAGAATAACCGACGAATTAAACTACTAGGATGCTTGGAGTTTTTTTTTTTTTTTTATGAACGAACGAACTAATGTCTCAAAACCCATATATAGAGACATTAGACACCTTAAGAAATCCTTTCCTAACCAATATAGGATTCCCCTTCCCCAAGGAACCATAAACAATAAATAAAAAAATGACAAAGTAATTAATTCAATCTCCTAAATTGGAATAAATAGATGCGCAAAGACATTAGACACCTTACGAAATCCTTTCCTAACCAATATAGGATTCTGCAATGCAACACAACACGTTGTCATCTAATAGATCAAGAGAATCGATTCAGATTTCAGAACCAAGCTAACAGGTTACTACAACGTTCATCAAAACAATCTGTTTATGCCTTAAGACAATGGCAAAGGGGTTATCTATGACTATGAGCATACCAAGATTAACCTAATAAGAGCAAGAGTACTACTAAGTACTAACCCGTTGCATATAGCTACAGTCAGAAGCTATGCACAGTGATCAGCTTGCTATGTCTAGACATACTCAATCATTGGTCTTGCACTCGAGGATCCTTTAAGAAAGTACTTGAGGAGTTTGTAAGGCACACTGTCAGCAGCCAGAGTCAAGGACGTCAATCTCGTAAAAGGAGATGGTTGGTCTGCCAAACCCACAGTAAGTTCACTCATGACCTGCAAAGAGAACAACAAACTCAGAAAAACTGTATGGTGATCATATGATATCTTCAGAAGGAACCGGGTATTGCCGTATTAGACCATGAATGATTTGAGTCAAAAGTATAACTACCTCAATGGTTTCCCAGTACAGCTTCAAAGACTTAGCATTATGCAAGCCTTGGAACAACGAAACGAACTGCTGCCTCGCTACTTCCTTGTTATCCTTGACAAAATGGTGATCGTCCCAAACAGATACATCAGCATGATTAAGCGAAGGAAGGCTTAAATTCGACAGTCCACGAAGTGTTCCAACATCATCCGTAAGAGCAAAGGATTCGAGCTTTGGTGCATGTATTTCAATGTCGGAAAACTCCACACGATCCAAAACCAAACTAAGCAGTTCGAGCCCAGAAATCTTTATACTTCTTTTGCACCCGCCACCATAAGTTTCACCAGCCAGGCAATTACTCAGGACCAAATGCTTCAGACAAGGAAGCTTAGAAAAAGGATCCAGCTGATCTTCCTTCTCGCCGCCCTGATCAGAAGACAGCAGACACCATTCCAGAATCAAACTTGTCACTGATTGAAAACAAGACAATCCACACCCACCGTCGAGGGTTACATGCCCCAAATCCAGTGATTCGATTTTGCATTCCGAGATCGAGCTGCTAAACAAATCAGAGCACCTCTTACTCCGATCGCGGTTGCCCTCACTACCCAGGTCAATCACCAAATGCTGAACATTATGTGAGCAAGCATATCTCATGACCCTAACAAACAAACCCATACGCTGCGGTTCATCTTCCCAGGAGGCTCCTCCATCGCCGTCCATGTAGCTAAGCTTGTGAACTTCACGGGGATAGCGGAGGGACAAGAGTCTGTCAACGTGGGTCTCGAAGCCTGAAAATTCTTCAAAGGTATCTCTATTGAAATTCAGGACGGGGACTTGTTTCCAAACGCACCTCCACCGTCGGGACAGTACACAGGTTTGAACGGCGTCTTTGGAGTCGACGAATGAGAGGATGTGAACAAGGGCGCGGTCGGGAAGAGCGCTTAACCTGTCACGACCAATAGTATCTTCCCCTTCTCCACCTCGGCGCCTTTTTCCGGCTTTCGCAGCCTCGCCATTGTTGTTCATAGCTCTCTGTTGGAGGCAACTACAGATTATTTCAGTTATATATAAGTAAAATCTGAAGATTGGAGAACCGGTTTAAGCGAGAAGGGAGCACAGAAATCGGGCGATTGAGTGTGATACCTCTCCACCGCCGGAAACCGAACTACGATAAACTTGAAGCCGCAACCAGTGAAGCCTGAATCGGAAAACTGGAGAGGACTAGAGAGCTTGGGGTGTTTGATCGGAGGAAAGCTGCATTTCGATTGGATTTAGGGTTTCGCTGGGCGTCGGCAATCGGCAGACCGGGAGGGAAAATGCAGCGGGGATTGTCGAAAAAAATATATATATATATTTTCCACTTCTCCACTGTTTTGGGCTTTAAGTTATAGACTTATAGGCCAGGCCTAGATAATCTGGGTTGTGGTGGGCCGAAATTTTCTTTTACGAGGTCGAGGTAATTATCCAAAATAATCACATAACTTTAGCATTTGCTATAAAATGACCATCCATATAATGAAATATAAAACACAACCTTTATTTTTCCTAAATGTTATTACAATTTGCCTTTTGCCAGTTTCTTACAATAGTAATCTCACTAGTTAGTCAGTCCACCATTTCATGCCAAAAGGACCAAAACCAGCATCTCCACCAGGACTAATACCTTAAGTAAGCAATCAAATCTCAACTACAAATAGACATGTACATTCATAACTTTCATGTCCACAAATCACAATGTAGTTCCATATTCCAGTTGTTAGTTGTTTAACGAGACGACAAACACGTCGTAGATGAGTCTAAGCCAGCTCACTTCTGAGGCATCACTCTCAAAGGTACCTCACTTGAGACCTCAAGCTCGTTTTGAAGAGTACAGGTCAGTTTAAGATACATCGCCTGAAGCATCCAGCCCACTCCGAGACGTCGGCCCTCAAGACATCTCATAAACAAAACCTCAAAATCCTATTCGAGGAGGCTCAATCTCTCTCCGGATAGGATGCTCTCTTCTCTTCCCGCATTTCACCACACAGGGTCCTCTTCCTAAACCTTATCTCTTCATACATCTACAACATGGTGTACATTATTTTTTATTGATAGCTGTGTGTTACACGAGAAAACAAAGCATAAAGAACACAAGAGTCATAGTTGGCGTTCTTATTGAATACATTATCATAGGTAGGTAAGTGAAAAAAAGCTCCAAAGGAAAATCCTCTCTCCCCAACCACGAGATCTCACCTCCCCCCATAAAAGCATCAACCTCCATCCCTCTTCTCTATGCTCTCCTAAAACATTTGTCGAACTCTTGAGTAGCATCGATCGTCCTTATAAAAAAAAAATATCGTCGAACCTCGATTCGAAACAAAAAAAAAAAAGTTTTTACAAAAAAAACAATGAAAGGATCCTCACTCTTAAACCCCATCGCCCAGCGTCTACAAGGCAAGGTCGCCTTCATCACCGGCGGCGCCAGCGGCATCGGCGCCGCCACCGCCCGCCTCTTCGCCCGCCACGGCGCCAAGGTCGTCATCGCCGACCTCCAGTCCGACCTCGGCCGCTCCGTCGCCGAAGAAATCAGCTCCGAAGTCTCCACCCCCAACGCCGTCACCTACTCCCGCTGCGACATCACCAGCGACCCCGACGTCGGCGCCGCCGTCGACGCCGCCGTCTCCGCCCACGGCAAGCTCGACGTCATGTTCAGCAACGCCGGGATCCCGGGGAAGGACAACATGCTGATGAGCATCGCCACGCTGGACCCCACCGAGCTGGCGCGTGTCTTCGCGGTCAACGTCTTCGGCGGGTTCTACGCCGCGAAGCACGCGGCGCGCGTGATGGTCCCCAACGGGACGGGGAACATCATCTTCACCGCAAGCTCCGTGGCCGCGACGCACGGGATCTCGTCCCACCCGTACTCCGCGTCGAAAGCGGCCGTGGTGGGGCTGATGAAGAACCTGACCGTGGAGCTCGGGCAGCACGGGATAAGGGTGAACTCGATCTCGCCGTGCGGGATGGCGACGCCGTTTGGGTTCGCGGCGTCGGGGATAACGGACCCGAAGTTTATCGAGGAGGTGGTGTCGGCGAAGGTTGGGCTGAAGGGGGCGGTTTGTCGGGTCGATGACGTGGCGGAGGCGGCGCTTTACTTGGCGAGTGGGGAGTCCAAGTATGTTAGTGGGCTGGATGTTTTGATCGACGGCGGGCATAGTTTGAAGAGTGCCTGATTGTGGGCCCCGTTGGGGGTTGGTGGGCTATGTCGGCCCAATTTATCACGTTTTGATTATCTTTGTGTTTTTGTTTTTGTTTTTAATTTACCAATTGCTATGTCCGAAAATTCAGACATTATGGGCTCGGGAGGGAGGATAATGTTTGCTATTTGTGGAGTCTCTTTCCAACTTCTAATAATGAATTTGCTACCGCAATAATTCTGGTCTCATACATTACCAGAAGATTTGGCATGGATTTGAAAAATATATATATTAGTAGGTCCAACGATTAAAAAACAGTAGAATTCACATATTTTTAACACGCACAGATCGTCTTACTACGACGGATTAATCAAATTTCTGAATAAAATAAATAACAAGTTTCTCATTCTAAGCGATTTGTCGTGATATGTACCAAGAAAATGTGCTAATGTTGACAAAATGAAAGGATTTGAACTGTTGTCCTTCAATTTTGGAGATATAAGATAACTAAGAGGCTTCATTTTTTGCATGTCCTCGAAAAAATTTGAGTCGGTGAAAATTCTCTCAATTTATGGCCCACACCATACGATCTGTTGTATAAACAGGGAATGCTCTTTTCATAACCTTGAGAGCGAGGAGTCAAAGTAAATTATTTGATAATAAAACGGAGTCAAAGTAAAGTTAGCCGGCCGGCTATTTTGATCGACTGACGTTCACAGCTTGAGGAGAGTAAACCGGTGGGCCCCCGGGGAGTTGGTGGGCTGAATCGGGGATGTTATATTATCCTTCCAAGAAAATAATTCACAGGGCATGGGCCACAATGATTTTGTAATCTGGGGAGTCTCTTCCCAACTCCAAATAATGAATTTCCTACAACAATCATGTTGGTCTGGTATGTTGATTGTTGTGCCAGACGGATTGGCATCAATCCAAAAAAATAAACTGGATCCCAATTCTGCTAACATGGCCTGCTAGAATCTCGTGTCGTGTAAGCGTTTCATCGTTGTTGAATGAACACAATGACATATTATTTTCACATTATTAATGTGCTCATTCAACGACGACATTTTGTATGTGCGTTATCTGACGATTCCAAACACCAGTGAGTAGGGGGAGATTATCGGTCAACCGAACCATCTCCCAACCCTACTGACCACCGGCCCAAAGACAGCTTAAGTCTTCCATTATCTCGATTTTCGGTTAACCGAACAGCCCCTAAGACAAAAACCATATCACCCAGTCTTCGAACACCGACCGAGTTTCGGTTATCTCAGTTATCGATTAGTGGATAACCGGTCGGTTTCAATTACAACTGGTCGGTTTGGTTGTAACCGACCGGTTTCGGTTGTAACCGACCGGTTTCGGTTGTAACCGACCGTCCAACCCTACCTATGAGCACCATCATACACTACTAAATGTTGAATCAGAAGGTTTGGCATGAGTTACCAAAAGGTAACATGTTAGTTATTACACACAGCAGATTTCATCAAAAGGAACAAAAGATGTTGAGGCATTAAATTAAACAGAACCAGACAGTGGCATGAGTTGCCAAAATGTGAACAGGATGTAACCCTGTCCCTCTACTAGCGCAACACAAACAGAAACCATGACAAAGCGGTCAACTACTAGCTCGTTTAACACTGATAATGCACTAGACTAGAGAATACTGTAATAAGAAAGTAACTGACCACGGCCCTTTAAGGAACTGGTATTTGGTAATGCAATTCATATCGCAGTAAATAATTTCTCTGAATTACCTAGACAAAGCATAGATCTGTTACCACATGACCTGAAAGTAGAAACAAACAGCAAACTATTGCATACTACAACAAGAAACTATGGTAAGATATAAGAAGGTTACCAATACCAATACGCTATGGAAACTCAATACGTGGTTTCACACCAGAAGACCCTTTAAGAAAGTAACTGGCCAGTGCGTAAGGTATACTGTCAGCCTTCACGATCAAGGACTTCAATCTCGTGAAGGGAGAGGGTTGTTGTTCCAGAAAGTCGGACATATCATCCAGTATCTACAGAAAAACAAAAATCCAACACGAGAAAGTATAAGGGAATGTTTCCTGGAAGGAACACTTCATTAGGACGATACAAAATGAGAGTACCTGGATGGTTTCAGAATCCAACCTGAGAGTATCTACATTACTTGAAGCCTGGAACAGTGAGATCAAACTTTGTATCGGGGATTCCACGTAACGCTCCATGTAACCGCCATCTTCCTTGACCAGGATCACAGCATGATCCAAGGGATGGGAAGCTTAACTCGGAGAAGTTAAGATTGCAAAAGAACTGCTCAAATCGGAAGGATTTGAGTCTTGGAGCAACTATTTCCATCTCATAAGAATGAACATACCCCAATTCCAAGCTAAGCAATTGTGGTCCAGATATCCTGAGACGCCTTTCAGAACCCATCAAAGTCATGGTCCAAATGCGAGCAATGAGTCAGGGCCAAATCCCTCAGGACACGGAAAGCCAGAGAAAGGGTCAGAGTCCCCGTCCTGATCAGGAGCCAATGGGCAATTCTTCAGTTACAGAGTCGCCAGCAATCGAAAATCTGAAGATAGAAATCCACGGTCGATTGCAACGCAACACAGCTCCAGACTCTCGAGGTTCCAGTCCAAGATTGTGCCAACCAACTCGGAGAATCCGTAACATTTTCCCCTGTAGGTATGCAAATAACCCATAGTGATATCTAAATGTTGAGTATTGTGACACAAGGCGTATTTGATCATCCGGACATACGGACTAATGTATCGTTCCCGATCCCTAGCCAAGGGGCGTTCAACGGCAAAGTCAATGCAGGTCATCTTGCGGACATTAAAGGGATGGCGGAGAGATAAAACTTTCTCCACATACCTCTTGGAAGCTCGAATGCTGCTCAAAGGAATCACTACGAAAATGGAGTGCTGGGACGTGCTTCCACGCGAACCTCCACATTCGGGGACAACACAGAGGTCTGAACGGCGGCTTTGGTGTCGAGAAATGAAAGGATGTGATGAATAATGGGTTCCGGAAGATGGCTTAACCTATCAGTATTAGCAGTACCATCTTGACGGCGCGTTTTTACAGGTCCCCCAGAACTGCCATTGCTGCGGCTGTTGTTGTTGTTGTTGTTGTCCATGGCTCGCCAGTAGAAGCTACTACAGATCGATTCAATTCGACCTAGCTAAAACCAGAAATTGAAAGGTCTTGGGAACGAGCAATTGAACAAAGAAAGGAATCAACAGACAGCAATTTACCTGTTCTCGATGATCATTACAGGAGAAGAGCCTGGTTACTGGCCCTGCGTCCCGCTCCGTCGTGGCAATCGAAACTCCGGCAGTCGGATAGCCGAAAAACTGAAGGGGGCAGCAAAACGATGGTCGGAAGAAAGCTCCGGTTCACAGGTTTAGGGTTTTGATTTTACTTCAAGGGGGAAAGGGAATGAATTTTAATTTGAAACTTCGAAATACGAAAATGAGTATTTACGTCCCATCGAGGCATCGACTCTGAAACGCGCGCCAGTTCTTCGTTTGGGCTCGATTGTCAGAATCCATCCCTAAAATTTGTTGGCCCATTACTGGGCTGGTGGCCGTTAGGGTAGCCCATGAGATTTATTACTGGCCCATTAAAGTAGACTCCGTTTTTTTTTTTTTTTTGGGTGAGCATGGATTAATGACAGAAAACGTCATTTATATTTTGAGTTCACTAACAAACCAGTCATTCATGTTTGAGGTTATTAACAAAATGGTCATGGATGTTTGATTTCCATTAAATTAGCGACTTATGTTTGTACTAATTAATGAAAGATATTTAATGTTATCATGCATTAGTTTTATACATAAAACGCATTCTAGTTTTTACATGTATGAAGTTAAATTACATAAGCCCTCATATCAACCCTCCTCAAATCTCGTTAAAAAGAAAACACTTCCTAAATCTCTGGATCTGGTTATTTAGCACTCTATTATTCGTCGAGTTTTCCTGCTGAGAGTCTATGTCGACGACTCATCAACAGCAAATTGGCAAAACATATCCACCATATATCCACAACGAGTAACATATATAAGGTTCATATTTAAATATTTTTAACAACTTTAATTATTGAAATCGAGTTTCTCTTGACCTATGTCACTTCCACTTCAATACTGATCAATTATACACACGTTTTATGTTCTGTAGGAAGAGAAGAACCCATAGTCATATCTCCTCCAACAAATCTCCATTTTGTAGGATCAATGCTCCCAATTGTGTCTGAGATTGGATAGGGATTCCCAAGAATGTCAAAGAGGATAAAGTTTCATTTCTCCATACATCTTTTTAGCACTCCCATATGGCTACTTTAATGATCTTCACTAGCCATCAGATCTCCCATATATAAGATTTAGATGCCTGACTGCCCTATTTTTCAAAACCACAACTTTTTTCGTACTAATTATCAGAGAGATTTCAATTTAGAAATAATCAAAGTAAAGCTAGTAGTTCAGAGAATAGAATCGATCAGTGAAAATATGTTCTTACATTGATATATATGAAAAAGGTAAATAGTTTACTACAAAAATTATTCTCTCGACAACATGTTCGAATCAAATACGAATTATGATCACGAGACAAAACAAGCTTTTTTTTATCCTTAAGAATTAAGTAAAATAAATCACTTTCCTTGCCCAAGATTGTTAGAATGGATCGATGGACCCAACTTAAAGTGGAGGATTTAGTGCATGGCTAGCTTTCAGGTACATGGGCCAAACTTGTTTGCTTTCTGGTTTTATCATGCAAAGTCCAATCAGAAGTTCACCTTCTTCTTCCCAATATAAACTTGACAAATCTCCACCAAGAATAATGGGAACCAACCTTTTCTCCACGTGTATTCCGATGGGAAAAATTGTTGGGACCATCTAATTAGTGACTCATCTTTTTAGATTATTGATGGAGTTATAATTAAGTTTTGGTTTGGAATAAGAGTGAAATGATAACATTGTGGGGTGAATTAGTAATGTCAATATTCGGATAATTAATTTTGGAGTAAAATATTGAAGTAAAGATAGTTGCTTTTTCATTTTAATCGACAGAAATGACAAATTTCACACTTTTGCTAAATAGAAAAAAAAAATGGCAGGATTGAAAATCCCAACGAATTTGTAAGTTATTCGATCAAACTAGTTTTTGTATAAATTTTATTTTTTTCATGATGAGGGAAGTACTTTCAACAGTTTATTTCAAGATCAGCAATATTGTTCTTCACTAGCAGTAAGCACCCGAATTCTGATACAGTGCTCACATTCGCGCAATCCGACAGCTGACCACCTTATGAACATATGCTCGTCTTACAGACACCATGTGAACACCACAACCGGGTTGATGGGCATCCCAAGATTGATATCTGGCACTTGAAAATGAACTGGCAACCCTGTTTTAAGCCACAGGTTGGAAAGAATTGGGATCTGGTTTTAGCCTTTAGGCAACTAGATGCCAAGTCATGTTAAGATATGGAGTAGGGGTGGACCGATAGATGCCTCCAAATTCCGGATTGGCACCAAAAGTTTGTCCGACAGGCAGCATTCCAATTTTATCTCCGTACTTCCTAGGGCAAAAGACACAAGAGAGGACAAATTCCTTGCTATAAAAATGAGGGGAGTTTGCTAGCCAATCTTCTCCAAGACAAATGCTAAGCTCCTCTCTCCCACTTTGAAGGAAAAGCAAGAAGATGGCATAGGCCAGTCACTCACTACAATCAACCCACACACCAATTTTTCTCTCCTTTGTTCTTGTTGCTCTCAAATCAATTTGTTTCCCCCTAGCTAGCTTGTTATGTGTTTCTCTGGATTCGTGGTTTCAAGGCAGTTTGGTTGCTCACTCTCCTTCAAGGGCTTCCGCGCGGGCTCACGCACCCGTTGAGAGATAACTCGATCGATCTGCGGTGGTGGTGAGTTCGATCGGAGGCTCGATGCTGGAGAGTAAGAAAGCTCTGTCTTGATACAGCTAGTCAGATGATTTTCTACGAACGATATTAATGCATCCATCATCCTGCTCGAGGTATGTATGTCGTCGTTGATACATGAACTTGTATGTCTTTCTTCCTTGATACTCTCAGCATTTGCTTGAACCTCCCTATGATAACATAAAAACCACAATATTGTTGAGCTCATCATATATCCCGAACAATTGTGTCATTTGTGGAACGTTTGATGATGAGTCTAGCTACGACGACATCATTATTTATTCGTAGCTATTGGCTGCTGGATGTGTCCGATCAAACAGAAAACATATGTTACGTTCTAGGTCCGAAGGAGTCCTTCGTGTTCATCAGCATCCATTTATGTGAAAACATATGCATGATTAATTAACTTCTTGCTCTTGGAAGAAACGTAGATGACCATGGATGACTTTGTCGTTTTGGTAAGAGGTTTGTCTTTCTTTCCCTTTTTTTCCTTGTTATAGTTATTTCAGGTAAGGAAGAGAAGACTATGGAGTGAAGTGAAGATCCGTCGAAGTATACGAGGGCAACACGCTAGCTATAGTTTGATGTGCTCAAGAAAGAATCATTGTTTGCCGACCTTTGTATATATCGACTATTCCATTGTGGAAATGGTTGCCTGGATCATTACCAACATAAAATTCTTTATTTAGTGAGATAATAATCGATAAATATATTGCACTTTTGTTCGGTATAAATATAATACACCAGACACCACCATTTCTTCTGACTGCTTTGACTGCAGTTAAATGGTTTGCAAAGTGTAGCATATACGTATAGGTGTATATGTCAGTCTGTTAGTTTGGCTTAATTACTCCTTTAATTTTGGTGACTGTAATGCATTTTTCTCATTATTTTCATCATTTGATATGATAAACAAGAAAGTGTATGAATTTGTGCAAAAAATATTAATTAAATTGTAGGGATTAAAATCCAAGATGTCGTGATAAAACATATTGTAAGAATTGGAAAAGTGATGTATATTAATTTATTTAGTGCATTGTAAAAGTGATCATCTCGTATACAAACGTGACAGCCAGCCCTGCGACAAAATTACACAAACATATCATCTGATGAACCAATTGCATTTTATATAAATGTCATTGTTTATGAGTTCTATATAAATAACAAGTTGATTTATTCAAGAAAATGCACGTTTAATTCTTTATCCTTAAACCATGCACGTTTAGCATATTGTAAGAGTTTACATGAAATAATTATGACAAAAAATATAGGCATTGTAAAAAAATGTTGGGGAGGCACTATTTTTTCCACTAGAGCACTCGCATTACTGAGAAATAAAAGATACAAAATCTGAAAATCAATAAACTTATCACAACCACGAAAACAAATCAAACCCACCAAACAATGTGAATTTAAAGAAAGAGCTTTTCTTGCCACAAAATCACAATCCTACTCCTATCCCGGCCCACAAACACCACTTCAAAGTGACTAAACATGACTCGCAAACCTACACTCTCCTCGAAGATGTCTCCCCCTCGTGCATCTATCAACTCACCATCGTGGACCTTATCCATAATCACTTGGACATCCCCAAAGAAAGTGATCGAAGTCAATCCTCTATCAGTATAGCAATGCACGCATCTTAAAAAAAAGAAAGTGATCGAAGTCAATCCTCTATCAGTATAGCAATGCACGCATCTTAAAAAGGCAGCAATTCAACCAAATATGGATTGTCCATCCCCTCATACGGATCATCCAAAAAATGGTCATTAAAACTAGGCTATTTTACAAAATCATCGAAGAACTTCAAACTCAACCAAAGTGATCATTTACGTTTCTCGAACATTGGTCACTTTAAAATGTAATCCGCACATATTATTTTAGGGTATCCACATGAAAGTAAGATTGCACATAAAAGAAGTGTGAAAATAAGCAAAGTTAAAACTCAGAGAATGCACTACATAAATACGAAAAAATTTAGTACAAACTTGCGCGAACCCCGCCTTAGAACCATCCCTAACAATGGTCCAAAAAATTTACACCCAAGTATAATGTTGTTTGGTATATCCTTTACATCAATCCATTTGGGAGTGTGATTGTTATAAAAATAATGGAGCATTTCAAATAAAATATTGCCCAATCAAACAAGTGACAACCCTCAAATAATTGAGTGCAATCACAAATCTCAATGTGTCATTTTCATGGTGGTGCTTTTCCCATTAAACTTCCCCCATCCACTTTAGTTTCATCGTCTTTAATTATTTTTGCTCTCTATTCTATAGGGTGCTCAACTGGACTTGAAATCTCCAAGGGATTCCTCGTATATAGCTTGCTTATGGTTTTCTTATAATTTCCGCTGCCTAATGTTGTTTATCAGCTACGATCCATCCAAGGATCATTTGCGAGTGGATAAATGTATTGACTACTCAATCTATTTACCTTTTTATCTAATGAAAGTACAGATTAAAACTATCAGCTGAATCGAAAGGGAAGACCCCCTACGGGAGATCTGACTATTAGAAATTGGGCGATTATAGATGGGTAATATGTTGGAGATTTTGGGAAAGGAAAACGAAACGGCTCATTTAATCGGCCTTATTCAATGTATATGGAAAGAGTACAATGTATGTCACTTTAAAAACATAGTAATGATTATGTGCAACATGGTAAGAGTAACATCAGTAAACATCTATCTACAGGGGGCGATGGTCGACATTTTTTGCTTAGAATTAGAATTTGCTTCATTTAGTGGCACGAAAAATGCCTTCTTTTTTGTTTTTTTTTTTTTGTGCCGAGAGGGTAAAAGTTGTGGGTAATCACTGGTTATTGGACTCACTGGTTATGTCTGCTCTGTTTCGAGAAGTGGTTTTGCGTCTTTCTTATTCTTTTTATCACATGCTTAAACTAATAGGCTTTTATGGTTCTTGTGGCGCAGCTAAATAAGTTGATGGGTTGTGTGGAAACTGGAAAGTATGCTGATTCACTTGGGCCGAAATTGGCCTGCCTGTTGCTGAAGCCCAACCATACTTTGGAAAATTGTAGCCAATCAACCAGAAATCAGGGAGAAATAGAGAGAGGGAGGATCAACATAATCCCAACATAACTATATAGACTTTCTGGGGCAGAACCCCCTTAGATTGCTTTTTCCTGCGCTGTGCGCAATTCACGGAGGGAGCACATAGTAAATTCCTTTTCCACCGCACTGACTGGGCCGCCAGTTCCCTCCTAGAAGCCCATTGATTCCCTAGCCCATTACAGCTCGCGTCCTGTCTCCAGCATCACCGAAATCGATCCTCGATCCTCACCGCCCAGCTCACCGAAATCGATCCTCACCGAAATCGAACCTCACCGGTCCTTTCTCACCAGCACCGCTCCTATCTCCAGCATCTCTAGCCATCCCCCAACTCTTTCGCTGCCGGCCCAACTCACCGCGCCCATCGCCTCCCCCAACCTGTCTCGCTGCCGGCCGGAAGTCTAACCTCCAGCCTCCAGTTCAGCTTGCGTCTCCAGTCTCTGTAGATACCGGAAATCGAGCATCAACTCGGAGCCTCCAGCCTCTGTAGCTACTGGAAATCGAGCATCAACTCGGAGCCCGTGTTGTGGATGTGGAGATTTTGTTTCCCCTTCCTTCGCCCCTTGGTCATTTAGTTGGTGGCTGCTCAAGTTCGCGGCGATTGCACCAGCCCTAGCTCAAGTCTAACCCTCCGCCGCTGCTGCCGAAGCAGATTCTTTAGCTGCTGGGTGACAGCCGAAGCAGATTCTTTAGTTGTTGGGTGATAGGTGAATCACAGCCAACTCACCGCTCGCGTCTCCAGCCGCCAACTCAGAGCCCTGTTAGAAATCGAACCTCACCGCGGAGACCCTCGAGCGCTCTCTTCGCCTTCCTCATCAACCGCGAGACTCAGATTCTTGTTGGACATCGCACCTCACCGAGACCCTCGAGCGTTCTCTTCGCCTTCCTCAGCAGAATTGATATTTGATTGATCCATTTGGGGCGTTTTGGTTAGAGTGCTTTTGTAGTTTCAAATTGATAACAACATCATCACTCGAAGACAATAGCAGCAGACCAGTCTTTCTTCCACCACTCAAAGACAATAAGTGATTTACAGTAAGGTACAACTCTAATCCTTTTTCTTTGGTGAGTTATGCAAGTTCATGTTTGTTTTCTTTGGTTCGATCACATAATTAAGGCAAAGTTTGTTTATGTGAAAGGGGTACAAAAGAGAGTGCTTATGGTTGTTTATGTGAACCCTTCCTACATCAGATCAGATAAAAAGCTTTCTGTTTGCTGTATTATTCTGTTTTCTGATTGTGTTTGCTGTAGAAGTGTGATTATCTGATTGTGTGTGTTGTCCATTTTGTGAACTTGCAGTCACATTAAACCGAGGGTTATTGGGTTCTCATGATTTATATCAATTGAAGATGAAAGATGAAGAGGAGGTACGTATCGTTTTCAATTAAACAAACTAATAGTGATCAAATGCTAACAATTCATATAATATGCAGGAAAATATGTATTCCGTCAAATGTAAAGTTATCAAGGTTAAGAATGGGTGGTGCTATGCTGGATGTGGAACCTGTCCACAAAAACTTGAAGAAGAATCAGATGAGTACTTCTGTGGGACCTACGTATCGTTTTCAATTAAACAAACTAATAGTGATCAAATGCTAACAATTCATATAATATGCAGGGAAATATGTATTCCGTCAAATGTAAAGTTATCAAGGTTAAGAATGGGTGGTGCTATGTTGGATGTGGAACCTGTCCACAAAAACTTGAAGAAGAATCAGATGAGTACTTCTGTGGGACCTGTATGACGACGTTAAAGACCACAACATCAAGGTAATACGATAATTATTAATATCAAATTGTGTTCTGTATTTTCTACATATATTTCTTTACCCTACTCAATACAAAATGCAAAACGTTTCGATAATAATATGAAGAGCTACTGCACCGCCGATTTATTCCAAATTGGACTGCAATTCGTGTTGTACCAAATCTCACCCTTTCACAATTTATCATTATTGGCTTGCTCTTTCCTGTTCAATTACTGCTTGCTTTGGTTTCTTTAATTTCACGTGGTACTGCTTTTGGTTTAATTATTTTTGTGTTTAGCTTTTTGGATTTGGAGTTATAACCATTTTTTATTTTTAATTCTTCAAAAACCCACTTACTGCCCCATTTTGATCCCTGCACTGCATTCCTTCCTTTGGTATTATATGCAATATCCGTAGCTACATATGATAAGATTATTATTATATAACAAAAAAATTTCATTTATGATTTTCTATATTTACACACTTCCGACACTAAAATTGTGCTTCTTTATGTTATTACAATTCTTATATAGATTCAGGATACAACTTCGAGCCGCGGACAAAACAACTCAAGCAGACTTTGTTGTTCTGGATCGAGAGAGTGCTCGATTTTTTGGTATATCTGCTGAGAAACTATTCCAAGACAACGATCGAATGAGAGGACCACCACCTGCTCATCTACTACAAATTGAGGGAATGACTCTGAAATTCGACATCAAGCTCACTGATTATAACATCGCAAACCCAACAAGTGAGTACACAATTTGGAAGATTGGGCTGGAGGATGATAACAATAACTCAAACAATCACCCCGAATCAATTGAGGTAAGTCCAACTAGCGTGAAATTATATTCACCTTTTTTACAATAATGCATTATAACCAACACGATTTGGAAATTCTATTCAAAATGAACCCACTAATGATAATTTAATTACAATTCCATCTCAAGTGCTCATACATTGCTTTTGCAGTGCGTTTAATTTTATAGCCTAAAATAGTGCAACATTCCTTTATTTCCTATTCACTTGCATGTTGCTGCATTCTTCAATATATAAGCATCCTATATACATCTTCACTTACCAAATATTATGGTTTTGTGATTCAATAAAACAACAAATATGTTTTGTTTTTTAATGACAAAAAACTAATATCATTATCCTAATTATGCAGGAGATCGAAAATGGCATTGGCAATGATGCGGTGGCTAGAATCGGTGTAACAAATGATGATGCTCTTGAGAAGAATGTGGAGTCTCCTGATATTGAACCAAAACAGAGGACTAATGGAGAAGAAGACTTCAATACCGGTGGAGATGATGATGTTGCTAATGACAAAGGAAATGCAAACAAGCTAAAAAGAAAACATGGAGTGATAGTCTCTGACAATGAGGAACAAATAGAATGATTAGCGAAAGCAAATTAGGAGTCGGTCCCCTGGCATAGGGTTTCTATATTCTTTTTTCGGAAAACAATTTTACTCAATGAGTCGGATAGTATATTTTTTCGGAAAACAATATTACTCAATGAGTCGGTTAGTATATTTTTTCGGAAAACAATTTTACTCAATGAGTCGGTTAGTATATTCGGAAAATACTATGATTGTGTGGTTAAAGTACCCATCAATCAATGTATTGAGCATCACATCATTGAATTGAATACCGAATTTCATAGCTCTGCTAAAAACTGCATAGCCAAAATCTAACGAAGCAATATGCTAAGCGTGTAACGATTGTCTGGGACTCCAGCTAATTCCGTTTGTCTAGACGCATAGAAGGAAGTAAGACGAGGGAGCTAATCATGATTTTTATGTCTTAGCAGCATTCATAAACAGGGTTGGTTAATTTCAGGAATCCAACCACAGGTGTCATTGTACAACTACGATCATCCTCAGGTTCTCAAGGATAAGTACAGAGGATGGCTTAGTCGAAGAATGGTGTATGAACTACGTACATCCTAGCTAACTGATTTCAGCTGATGCAGAGAGCTAGATATGGATTTTTAGTGTGAAAGTGAAATTTTTGTTGCAGTGGAGATTTCAGAGATTATGCGGAGGTGTGCTTCAGGGAGTTTGGTGACCGAGTTGGTCACTGGACAACAGTGAACGAGCCGAACATCTTCGCCTCCGGCAGCTACGGTACCGGTTTTTCTTCGCCGATGAAATAGTGAGCAGTTTCGATGGATGATCCTAGCCATGCTGAGCTGCTGAATTGCGTTGAATCGAAACCATTGGCAACGAGTGAGCCTGCCAACCATCAATAGATACTACCAGCTCTTCGCCCACCTTTCCTCGGTACATTTGGAAGTGATAAATTTTCATTACAATTATAAACCAAATTTTAAAACACATATATGACAACACGTTAATCACTTTAAACACAGTATTATACAGTGATGAACAGTATAATCATTTTTAAACTTACAAGTAAATGATATGTTATTAAATTATCCATTGAATTCATTTGGAAGGGGTATAATCATTTTACGGGATTTAATTAATACAAAATAAAATAATTATTTTTGCGATGATTTTAAAAGTTAATGTTGATGATAATTGGTAGAATCAAGTAAATTTTTTTTATATTTGACGGGAAATGTGCTATTTAAATATTTTAAATATTATTTTATTCAAAATGTCATATATAATTTAAATATTAATATGAGTTGTAAGAAAATAATTTGAGTTATTTAACGCTACAAAGAAATTAAAATATTAAATATAATCATATACCTTTATTTCTAAATATACTACCTAATATATACAAAGCTCCCATCAAATTTGCTATTTCTATTCACGCGATTGACAAATGAATCCGGCCAATCGGCCGGGCCTGTGACTAGTTATCATAAAGCGACTATGAGAAGACGATTGTTTGTATCATAATTACAAAAAATTGAATTTCTCACATTATTTCTTCCCGTTTCGAAGAAGAAAAAAAACAAAGAGAATGTCATAACTCATATTACAGAACAAAAAGTTGGTTGAAATTTTCGAATAGTTCATACACATTGTGTCGGTCATTCGCTGAACAACACCAGTATTTTGATCCGGTATAGCTAGCAAGGGTAGCTAGCTTGAAGTACTGATTACCATAATTTTCTCTTTATAATGGAGTTTAATTTAATGCACCCCAACAATGTACAAGCTCGGGATAATGGATAGCATTAATTATGAAATAATAATATTGGTTGGTTGGTAGGTGGTGGTGACTGGTGACCAATTAGTACGTAGAACTAATACTAGTAAGCAATTAATTAACTAATAATTAAGAGCCCCTCCAGACGCCGGCCGGCGACTCGCCGCTAGTTAAGCAAGCTCTTGATTCTTCTCCACAAGCCGCACCCCTTGATCGGATCGGAGCACATGATTGGCCTGTTTCTCACACACACACACAAATTGAATATATGCATATACAAAAGGTTTAAAAAAAAATAGTGCAGACATACTGTTCGACGAAATGCAGGATAAAATAACTAACTAGGTGAATGGAAAACGGTCGGTTGGACCAAGTTTGAATGGTCAGAAATGCTGACCCATGGAACATGCACGACGGCCAGGCTACATATCTACTACGTACTCCACGTGCGATTGGAGATTGAGGATTCCACAGAAAGAGATTAAGATGCGGCATGCGTTCCACTACAATAGTTTGCGATTACGTTGATTATTAATTGATTAATTACGCTATTAATTAGCATTTCCCAATACATACATATACAGCATATGTATACATTGCACATGAGCGGCCGACACATGCATAGCATAGTAAAGTGACTTCCGCGTTGACTCTTCATGCCCTCACCTCACCTAATCCGTAAGGATTAACAAAGTCAAACGCTACGTAATTACTTTCTTAATTTGTCAAACTTTCACTCGTGATGCCAGTGTGTGGTTGAGCTGCTACTAGCCTAGTCTAGCATCATGTGTTGGTCCGATTCTCCAAATTTGACGTGATAACCGACTTCATCAACGCCGCCTAGCTCCTCCGTTCCACACTGCAAATTACTACGAGCCGATTGGTCAGTACACCCATACCTCTCCCTTTGTAGCGAGCTCCGCATGGTTTTAACTTTTAAGCAAGTATTGTCAAATCGTATCTGAGATTATACCGGAAAAATCAACGGTATGGTATTTGTTATAAACGCGCTGCTACGGATCGAAAAATCGCCGGAATCGACAAAGCAAGAATACGAAAGCGAGAATCGAAAACACGACACACGATTTACGTGGTTCACTAACACGATGTGTGTTAGCTACGTCCACGGGCGAGAGAGAGCCGATTTCACTATATCAAGGAGATTACAGATTACAGAGGAGAATGAGAAGTATTTATAGTACTTCTCCATGTGGGTCTAAACCTAATCCAATCTGACAAAGGAAACGGTTACAGACCAGGCCCAGACCCCCGATTACCAGTCGTAGCGGCTGATAGTCCGATTCAAGTCACATCAACAGTATTTATGTTGAAATTGTGCTTTAATCATCATTCAACCGTTTGATAACGTTAAATATCACCTAATAATATGGAATTTTTTTTATCTGAACCTCCGATACAATACGGTCTTTCAATCCTTGTTTTGAAGCCCGTCGGCATAAACAAAGATAAAATATCAATATGTTATCATTTATCTTGATCAAATCAAGGTAAATGCTGGATGACCGTGTTAAAATCAATGGTTGATTTTTTGATAATTCGAATTATTGAAACAAAAAACCGATTACCGGGTTTTTAGCGCACTTGTTATGTAGGCTACATAACTGAACCAAACGATCCAGGCCCCTCCATAAATCAAACCTTATTTGAGGCCCATTTTATCCCATATAAGCCCAAACTCCTCAAACAATCGAAGCTACACTAAACCCAAGGGGACAGGTTACGGTGATTACTATTTTATAGTAATCACCGTGGTTACTAAGGGTAAATTGGGTATAATAAAAAAATTATTAATGATCTTTTTTAATAAATTACATTTTAGGAAATTACATAAATATATTAAATACAATTTTTCTCTCTCTCTTTCTCTCACTTCCACAATTTTTCAGCCAGATCTCTCTTCCTTCTTTTTCTCAATCTTTCCTTGATTTCGTTCATCCAAACTAATACCGTTGCAACAACAAAACAATAAATCAATACCAATCCATTAAAAAAAATACTACCATTGTACAAAACATCAATACCATTCAAGAAATAAAAACACTACCATTTCACAAACCATCAATACCATTGCAGATTTAATCACTACCAATGCGACAAAATCAATACCAATGCGACGAAATCAATACCAATGTGACAAAAATAATACCAATGCGACAAAAACAATACCAATACGACAATAACACTACCACTGCGGGGGGAAATGACTACCATTTTATAAAAAAAATCACTACGGAAAAAAATGACTACCATTTAAAAAAAGGCATACCAATGTACATCTCCACCGGGAAGTAAACGGTCATCGGCCAGAACCCCACCGAGCCCAAAAGATCCACGATGTCGTTGAAGAACGGGAGAAGCATGGAGATCAGAATTGTGGTAAATGACGAAGATGGTCCTCCATCCGATGCCATCATAAACAAAAAAGAAAGAGTAGGCAAATTCAGGAAATGGGAACTGAAACACCCCACATCAAAAGAATTGACCTTCACATACCTTTGATCAGGGAGTGGTCCTCTTCGGAGAAGTTGGAGGAGCCGATGAGATCATCAGGCAGATTGAATTTTCCGTCGGCCATGGCAAGTGATCGATTGTCGTACCAAGCAAGCGAAAGTTCGGGCGATTCGAGATCGAAACCGGGAAGGATCGCCTTAGGGAGCTCGAGGAATTTTGCAAAGGAAGCCCAGAGGAAGGAACAGAGAGCGCTCTCTAGAGTTCGAAGAAAATCGCAGAAAGCCGGAAGGGAGAGAGAGAAGGGGAAGGCGACTCGCCCATGGCCGGAGAAAGAGGCGCGGAAGGAGTCGTCGGACAAGCAAACCCTAAGCCATCGTCGGGGAGGGTGAGAGCTTGCGGCTACGGCGGGTTTGGCTGTAGAAGTAGGGTTAGGGTAGAATATATAGAATAATCAAGTGTGGTCCTTTTTTTTCTTCCAAAATTATCCTGAGACAATCTTAACCGTAAGATTTAAAAAAGAGGAAAAAGAAGAAAATAAATGGTGAATACTGATGTAGCCACGGTGACTACTAGAAATTCAGTTTCCACCCTAACGCATTCCAACTCATCAGACCTAATGAAAGATAAAGCTGGCCTGGGATCCCCGGCAAAAAATAGTTTTTTTAGCACAAAATTCCATGACCAAACAATCGTCCATTTTCTCACGGGAGTCAAAGGCGCGAAAACCGACCAATTTTACGGCCCCTCGACGGAAAATAGCAAGTCGTAATCCCGATCAAATCGCCACTCCCTCCGACCAAATCATATATATAAAATTCAACCCCGACCACCGAGCTAATCATCAATACCCACAACAATGGCACACCCAATTCCCTCCACCACCGCCGTACTATGCATCTCCGCCGCCCTCGTCCTCCTCTCCGCCGTCGCCGACGCTCGTAATTTCCACCACGATCTCCCCTTGACCGAACCCACCACGACGAACGGCGACCGGTTCCCCGACGACGATCCCATCCTCCTCCTCCCGAGCGACGACCAGCTCCTCGCCGGCGAATCATCGGAAAATTCGCCGGCGGCGAAGGAGGAGGATGAGAAGAAGACGGCGGAGGAGGTTCCCGTGACGGTGGTCGGATTCCGCCCGATCAACCGCCACTTCGCCATCCCTCCGGTCAGCCGCCGCCCTCGCCTCCGCCGCGGGTGCCGCCACGGCCACACCATCAGAGGGCTGAGGCCGTGGACCCCGCGGTACGGCAGGATCCGATACGGCAACGAAGACGCCCTGGCAACCGCCGGCGGCGGCCAGGATTTGAGCGGCGGCCTTCCTGTCGGCGATTCGGCCGACCTACCGCTGAGATGGGGGCAGCCGGGCTACAAGTACGAGAGGCAGCCGGCAGTCATCGATCTCAGCGATGAAGTTATCGTCACCGGAGACGAGATCAAGAAGCCCCACCTCCACCGCCGCGGCGGCGGCGACGGAGAGCATCCGCAGGAGAACCTTATCCTGAACAAGATTCGCAAGTTTCTGATGCAATTTTGAAGGTTGTATATATAAAAAATGGTAATTTCGCCTACACGGTAGAGAATAATTAATCAGTAATGAAAAATGTGCATCTATGGGTAGTTGTAAATGCAATTACTACTATTTGGTCTTTTCCCCGCTGAAATCTTGATTCAGCTATTTTATTGTAATTAATTATTGTATTTGTATATTGAAATATTTTTCATTTTTATTTTGAATTATATGAATTCTAAATTGCTCCTCCATTCTTCAATGTCTTAGTGTGTGCAATCCGACCGTACCAAACTCATTAGGAACATGGTTCAATATTAAACGATGATTTAGGATTAGTGATTAGAGCAACAATGCATTTTGTCTGGTTTATTTTGGTATGGTCTGATCCAAATATCAGTTCGAACAATTTATTCGAATTATCTATATAATTCATGGGACGAGAATCGAATCTTATTATATTCAATTCAAAATGTTTTAACAATCCCAAATTTCTTTTTTTTTCAAATAAAAAATAGCAAAAAAGCACAAAATTATGTTTTTTTTGTACTCTTTCATAACATAAAAAATATTAACTATTAAGACTTAAGAGCCATCCGGCATGAAAACCAAAAAGTTTGTGATTCCCGATTGATGAACAAAAAGGAAAATGCAAATACTAGGTTTTCTGACTCGCTCCCGGCTACGTGTGCTTTGAGCCCTTCACCCTTCACCACCACAAACTAACCCTGTCTTACGACAGAAAGAGAATTAACTTTTATTTGATCCGTTCCAAATATCAGTTTGGTCCGATACCACCAATCAAACCGTTATTCCAATATTTTTTTGAATCGCGGCCTCGTTGTCGCTCACATTCCAACTCCAAGCCCCTTCTCCTTCTGGCTGAGAATTACAAATATAGCCCATTCACCCTTTATCACAACGTGAAAGCCCATTTCGGCCCATTCCAGCCCATTTCAGCATAGCCCAAACAGTAGGCCGCTCTTTGCGTTTCAGGCTTTCTGCTCCCGCGCAGTTGAATAGTACAGTCGAACAAACCTCCCACATTTTCCCCCTTGTTCGCCTCTCGAGCTGCCATGGAAGAAGAAGCAAAAGAAATGCAATCCTCTGCAGCGGACGGAGTCCTGGCCGAGTATGGCAGTAGCAAACCCATGGAGGCATCTCTACAGAAGAAGCGCCAGGCGATGATCGATCGACTCTCAAACCGCCATCAATCGCGAACCGCCACCGCCGGCAACAGCACCAGATCCGCCGACGACGATAACCCCGACTCCGCCGTCGCCTCCAAATTCTCAGAATCCAAGTGCTCTATCGATTCCCTCCTCGATAAATCGTCCTCCGTCGATTCATCCGCTATCAGATCTCACTTCGACGGAATCTCCTCCTCCATCGCCGCGCTAGAGCAACTCGTCGCCGAGAGCTCCTACTCTCTCCCTTCCTACGAGCTCCGATCCGCCCTCAAATCGGTCGCGGAACTGAAGCAGCGGTTGGAAAATCAGAGCGCCGAGCTTCTGCCGAAGAAGAAGTTCTCGTTCAGGAACAAATCCGCCACCACGGCCGCCAAATCCTCAGCAGCGGTTCGACCGAAAGATCCCGAGCTCCCAAAGCAGCAACCGCCGGTCCTCGTGATTCGAGAGTCGCCGGGATTCCGAAACGCCGAGGAGGTAACTTTGACCAAGAATTTCAGAGGCTCGGGAATCGGTGAGTTCACTGCTTCTGACTTGGATTCCTGTGAAGTGAGATTGATTGGCTGCATCAATGCGTTGTTCATCAATAGATTGAGGAACTGTAGGGTTTACACCGGTCCGGTTATCGGTTCGGTTTTGATCGAGCAGGTAGAGAACTGTGTGTTTGTATTGGCCTCCCATCAGATCAGGATACACGATGCTAGTGGGTGTGATTTTTACCTTAGGGTTAGGAGCAGGCCGATAATCGAAGATTGTTCGAGGGTGAGATTCGCGCCTTACTGTTTGAGCTATGAAGGGATTGAGGTGGAATTGAAGGAAGCAGGGTTGGGAGATGAGAGTGGCAACTGGGGGAATGTGGATGATTTCAAGTGGCTGAGAGCTGTTCAGTCACCCAATTGGTCGGTTCTCGAGGAGAGCCAGAGAATCGAGTGTTTCGAGATCCATGAATCTGGAGATGGAAATGAGAATCCACAAACGGATTGAAAACTCCTAATCCATTTAGTCTGTCTATAAGGTGTACAATACTAGAGGTAGTTCTGTTCCATTCAGACTCCTTTGTGCTCCCTTGGTTTGAGAGGATCTAAGGTAGGTGGAATTTGGGAATGCTAATCATAATAATGCAGAACTCTTGACTCTTGTCTAAAGATGAGGGAGGATTCATATGGTGGTTTTGGATCATTCGTGAAGGAATGATGTGGTGGCTTTCTGCTGTTTATTTTGGCTGTCTAGCTCTAGTTCATGGATCAATTTCCCTCATCTAGCTTTGTTGTGAGAACTGAAAGAAGTTTGCTGGGCAAGGAAAGGTTGCAGGTAGCCTCCTGGGTTGAAATTTGGTTGGAGTTCCTGATAATGAAGAGTTGAAGATGGATTGCTGCGATCGTCTCTAATCGTTTCTTCGGCGATCTGATTCTGCATTTCAGTTTATCATCCTTGTGGGCCAGACTGGAAGCGGCAAAACTACCCAGATTCCCCAGTTTGTTCTTGAAGCTGTGAAAACTTCGGATAAGAGGCACAGGATGATGGTTGCTTGCACTCAGCCCTGTCCAGTGGCTGCAATCTCTGCCGCGCAGCGCGTTGCCGAAGAGATGAATGTCGCCGTTGGTGAAGAAGTTGGGTACAGCATCTGTTTCGAAGACAATGTCAGTCGCAGCAAGACGGTCTTGAAGTATCTAACGGACGGCATGCTCTTGAGAGAAGCCATGGCCGACCCACTATGGGACAGGTACAGAGTAATAATCGTCGATGAAGCTCACGAGAGAACTCTAGCAACAGAGGTGCTCTTGGGCTATCTCAGAAAAGTGTTGCGGAGGCGTCCAGATCTCAAGCTGGTGATCATGACTGCCAGTACTGTAGAAGTAGAAGCTGAGTTTCAAGACTATTTTGATGGGGCGGCTGTAATGAAAGTTCTTTCTGTGCACCACCCTGTGGATGTATTGTACACAATGGCGCCTGAATGCGACTACCTCGAAGCTACAATTCGAACTGTTGTCGAGATACACAAACAGAAGAGGCCTGGAGACATACTAGCGTTTTTGACAAGTGAGGAAGAGATGGAAGAGGCCTGCCACGGAATTTCTGCAGAGATTGGTAAATTGGGAGACGAGTTTGGTCCTGTGGAAATCGTGCCTCTGCACTCAACTCTGCCTCCAGCCGCCATGTCGCTGCAGAAGATATTCGAGCCTGCTCCACCAGCTGGGAGGAAGATCGTGGTCTCAACAAACACTGGTGAAACATCTCTCAGTATAGACGGGATTGTTTATGTGATTGATCCCGGTTTCGCAGAACAGAAATCTTATGACCCGCGTGTTGGAGTTGAGTGCCTTTCGGTTTCTCCAATTTCCATGGACAGGGCTGATATGAGAGCCTCTCTAGCTGGCAGGACAGCGCCGGGGAAATGCTACAGGCTTTACACCGAGAGGAGCTACAATCAGGATCGTCGGGCGCGGACTGAACCCGAGATACTGAGGTCGAATTTGGGGAACATTGTCCTGATAATGAAGAAGCTGCACGTTTACGATTGAGTTGATTTCATGAACCCGCCTGCACAAGAGGCGTTGTCGAGGGCTCTGGAGTTGTTGTCGGATTTGGGAGCGCTGGATGGTAAGGGGAACCTGACGAGGCTAGGGAACATTATGAGTGAGTTCCCCCTCGATCCTCGGATGGCGAAGATGCTGGTTGTTAGTCCGTGCTTCAATTGCTCGAAAGCGATCCTCTCTATCTGTGCTATGCTATCGGTACGCGACTGCTTTCGAAAAGCTGATGATGAAGAAGCCAGAGCGAGGTTCGTTGACACCGACGGTGATCACCTGACTCTGTTGAAAATCTACAAAGCATTCGAGCACAACATTTTAAGGGTAGATTATTAGCTACTTTTCGGAGAGCAGGAAGAAAAGATATGAGAGAAGGAGAGATTATTAGCTACTTTTCGGAGTATATTCTTTCTCTAACATCATATGTCGTAAATCAGTTAGTTCCAATAATTCGAATTATAAAGAAAGAGTTAATTATTAATCATATACGATGCAATACATAACCATACTTATCTATCTATCTTTATACAACTTGTATTTTTCTGTAATTTTAAATCACCCTCGGGAGGAGGTTCCGTGACTACTTACTCTTGGACGCGCCATGCCTTAGCGAAGTTCCTGGGTTCCCGAGGACGATGTGTGCGAGGTTGTTATCGCGGCTGGACCCGAGCCATGCCCCCCAACACGAACCATTCTTATACAATTATATAGGGTAAAAAACACTACTACCAAAATTACTAACTGCAAATTAACATTTGGATAATAAAGAAGGAAATGCAGGAATCATTTGAGATTTGACTAATAATCGGTATTTACCAACTATACAAGCAATACAAATCGAATCAACAAGCAAAATGAAGTTAAAAGGGCAGGACCTAGCCAGTTCACTTTACAACAAACACTCCAGATTTCTTCAAAACCCGTCAGAAATCGGAGTTGGATCATCGCCAACAGAGCAACGGAAACTGAAACCGATCAGAGATTTCGGAAGTGATCGGAGCAAGAGCCGGTGGCGCCATTACTGGAAGCGAGCTCAGAGCAAGGAGAAGGGCTGACCAGAAAGGAACCACCGCTGACATCAGAGCATTTCCACGTCAGCAGCGTATTATTATTTTTCCCACTCTTCCTCCGAACCACATGTAAATTGACATTCGACAAACAAACTCTCATAAACGGAGCATCCTTCAACCCGCGAATCAAACCGGGCTGACCAATCCTCTGACCCCAAATGCCGTCGAGGGTCAGCCCTTCGACGGCGGGGAGAGCGGTCGGGTTGAAATTGCCGTCCGGGTGGCCGCCGACGTCGCCGGCGATTCTGATCCCGGTCCGGACGTCTTCCATGTAGACGTTGGACACGGTGATGTTTCTGATGTAGCCTCCCCTGCCCGTGTTGGTTTTGATGTGGATCCCCACGCCCATGTTGTAGAGGTTGATGTTCTCGGCGAGGACGTTTTTCACGCCGCCGGAGGTTTCGCTGCCGACGGCGATCCCGGCGAAACGGGATGAGCCCGTGATGCGGCGGATGGTGATGTCCGTGCTGGGTCGGTTGAATGCGATGCCGTACTGGTCCCAGCCGCTCTTCACGGCGACGAGGTCGTCGCCGGTGGAGATGTAGGAGTCTTCTATGCACACGTTGGAGCTTGAATCTGTTGGGGGGTTTTTGGAGAGTGAGTTTAGATTTTAGTCGATTGAGACGACTAGTTCGTATTAGAGTACGAGTAGTACGACTCATCGTGGTTTCAATTGTAAGACGACAACAGTTTTCACCTCGATTGGTTCATATTAGAGTACGAGCAGTACGATTCATCGTGGTTTCGATAGTAAGACACAACAGTTTTCACCTCGATTGGTTCATATTAGAGTACGAGTAGTACGGCCCATGGTGATTTCAATAGTGTAAGACACAACAGTTTTCACCAAATTCTAATTAACAATTCCTGAGAAGGAATAGTACTGAAGATATATATGGATAATTACCTGGATCGACTCCATCGGTGTTAGGAGAGTTATGGGGAGCCAAGATGGTAACATATCGAACCACAACGTTGCTGCAAGTCCAAAACACGAAAAGTCAAGCCTAGCTAAAGAATCCATCGGAACCCATTCGAACACACACGAGCGATCAAACCAACTTTGATATCACGTCATGAATCAGTTGGTGTCAATAACTCGAATTACTGAGAGAAGATTAAATTACGATTCTTATACGAGGTACCGAAATGCAGGACATGATGAACTGCTAGCTAGGTATTACCTGCAGTAAACAGGGTGAATGTTCCAAAAGGGAGAGTTCTTGAAGGTGACATTGGAAATGATTATGTCATGTGAATTCATGAACTCGACCAGGCCCGGTCTGGTATACTGAAGCGTCCGCTGCTTCCACATGTTCCACCAGACGTCTCCTTGCCCGTCGATTGTGCCATTCTCGCCTATGGTGTGCAAACAACACTGCTTTCAAGTCAGTTCTCAAAGCAGTACAGTACTTGAACAAAATCTATAGGGTAAACAATCAAAATGTGGAAAGCTCTTACCTGTTATGATCACGTCGTGTACTCCATCAGCATGAATGAAGCTCGTGTACCTTCCTCCAGGGAGCTCTCTCCCTCTTCCATAGGATGGAAGAGGAGCAACCAACGGCCAATTCGAAGTTTCCTAGACCAACCAACCAGAATCAAGAACTTGTCAGAGAATGCTTGAAAACCAACCAAAAGTCTAATTAATTAGGGTTGGAGGTCTGTCGGTTTTGGTTTAACAAAAAACCGAATTTTCGGTTAACGGTTAACTGAAACACCTCCCAAACCTACCGACCATTGACCGAAAGAGGGCTCAATTCGGTTATCTCGGTTTTTGGTTAAAATAACCGCCTCCCAAGACCAAAACCATCTCGCCCAGTCTCCGAGCACCGACCGACTTTCGGTTATCTCGGTTTTCGGTTAGTGGTTACCCGGTCGGTTTCGGTTGTAACCGATCGTTTAGCCGCTAACAGAGAACCGATTGTCCAGCCCTAAGTCTAATGAGCTAGTTTAAAGTTTAAACTAAAGAGTTTGGGTTAGCTGCACAAACCATGCTACCAAGTCAAAAACTTTACACGCTACTAAAAATTGGGAAGCAACCGAAAGTCTAATGAGCTACTTTAAACTAAAGGGCTAGCCAACCATGCTACCAAGTTTCCTAGGCCACCAAGCAAAGTCAAAAGACTTGCCAGAGAATGCTTGGGTTACCAACTCAATGAGAAAAGCAAGGGGTTAGCTGCACAACCATGCTGCCAATTCAAAAACCTTACACGCTACCAAAAATGGCGAAGCAAACCAACAAGGAAAGAAAGAAAAGTAAGCCTACAGCACCCAACAATGAATCTTTCTTAAACTACAGACATGTGTGGCAGTGGCACAAAGCCCATAAGAGAAAGCAACTCAAGAGAAATTTTGGCATCAACTGACAGCCTTCAAAATTATTGTTTTATTAAAGTAATTGTATTATTATCGACATTTCACTCTTCAAATCAATCCTCCTTTGTTAGTTCCCAATTTGTTAGTTCCCAAAAATATAATTTAAAATAAAAATTAATAAATATTTTTTAACATATCCAAATTGCCAATTGGGTAGAGGAGTTGTAAAAAATGACAACCTTAAACGGATTATCACTGTATCTCATCCCTTTTGTATATTGTAATAATGATGCCTCCATAAAGTTAAGTTTCCTAAATCAACTGACTTTATTGAACACTTCAATAATGTACTTCCTAAAACCGCTAATTTAGGAATTTGAATTATGTTCACATCTGTAATCAAGTTAAAAGTAACGAAAACATTTACCACTCCTCAGTTGAAACTTGGAACAACAGTCATTGAAAAAGAGGCATAATTTCGTATGCAAGAGTTATAATATTTTATTTTTGTCGTATATGATAATTTCATGGCAGCCACAGATGAACGGCGGCGATCGCATCCGTACCAGTAAAATTACCATCAACACTAATCACGTTGTAAAACCAGCTAATCATGATTAATTCCACTTTTAATTAGTTCGTTAATTGGAAGAAATAGACAATTACCGAAAAGGGGTCGAAACAGTAAAAACACACCTGTGTGGCCTTGATAACGGCGCCTGTAGCCAAGTAGAGAGTCATGTGACTGGTGAGGTTAAAGCTCTCCGTCAAATACTCCCCCGCCGGTATGTAGAGCAGAGTGCCGCCGCCGCCGCGCCTCTTCGTATGCTGAATCCGGTAAATCGCCTCCTCAAACGCCTTGGTGTTGAGCGTCTTGCCGTCCCCGACGCCGCCGAAGTCGGCAATCGAAATGTTATCGCTCCGGTAGCTCATCGGAACGATCCCGGAGCAGGTCGGCACTTCGCCGGCCGAGAGTGTTGAAAGCGACGCCGCCGCGGCGGCGCAGCAGAGGAGGTAGAGTTGGAACCGCGGCATTTTGGGGCTCGGAAGAGGATCGAAAATCGGAGGTAGTTGATTTTGGGGAACGGTACAAGGAGAAAGCTCCGAAAACGGAGATTTGGGGATGGATTAAAGAAATGAGAGAGAGGGGATCTGGTGGTGGTATTAGTGATTAGAAGGAAGCCATGAATAAGTGATCCTACAGGAAGTCTATCTTGAATTGAAATGCATTCTAAATCTAAATTCGTGAGTATCCAAGCAGGAAATGGATAATATCTTCATGTAGAAAAGATTTGGCGGATAAAAGATTTCCCCGCATCGGCCTCACATTTTTACTAAACGGATTTGGTATTCACGTTTTGACATCCATGGATAAAAAAATAAAAGCTTATTTCGTAGCTAGCCAATACCAATTACTGCCTCATGTCACAACAACAGGTAAGAAAGATTAGTCACTAACAATAATGTTATATATATAATATATATCACGTTTTCTCCGCTGCCTGCCGGGCGCCGGCCAGTTCCACATCTCCCAAAAATCTTTCTCATCCATCTCTTCACGTTGCGCTTGCGTACCTCTGCTTCATATCATCACATCAAGTTCACGAGACTTGGATGAATAATTCAAAGCCAAAAGCCCTCTCTCCTTCTAGAACGATCCATCATCTTGTGAACTTCGGCTCACGAGAAGACAAATATGCAGAAAAAATACAAGAGTTCTTCATCACAGAAAAGAAGAAAATAATATTTACAATCAGAGATGAACATTCGTTTGGAAATTGTGATTCTTCAAATTGATGTATTAGGTCAATTAGTGTATTATCATTTGATGTATTGATTCAATGCATGTATTAGGAAAATACTTTGTTTGGAAGAGCAATGATGAAACAAAAAGTAGGGTAGACAATCCCTCATTAACAATCTCACCTTTTAGTAGAGATAATCATTCATTTTGAGTGATTGTAGGTGGGCCCAACAAAAAGATAATGCATGCATTCTAACTCAAAGTGAACCAAAAAAACGACTTAATCTGATAATTACATGTATTTGCTAAATACCTCACTTCAAATCTCACCCTCCAAACCACCCTTAATCTGTTATTGAAGCAACAAAGCTATCAGGACATATATCTAGAGAGAGAGACTGTTTGGTTGGTTTTCCTTTTTTTCTGGAAAACACTGTATAATATACAGTACAGTAGAAAGTAGATAGATAATGATGATGATGAAGTTGACAGTAGTAGTTAGCTGATATAGACAAATCAGGAAGAAGAGGATGACAAGAACAGGAAGGAAGATCGACTTGAGCCAGAAGAAGGTTTTACCAACACTTACAAACCCCTTATGTGAATAGGAAAAAGAAGAAAACAATGAATAGTTTTTTTTTTTTTTTGGCTTCTTCCTTCCTTTCTCAATGGATCTTGGCATCTAAGAGGGAGAGACAGAGAGACTTGGCTTTGGCTTGTGCACCTTAAATCCTGTCAATTGGTTCTGTCTGGTCTTGCACAGCCAGCCGTTCCGAAACCTCAGCCAACGACTTCAGGTTGCACTTGATCAGAGCTTCGATGAAGTAGCATGTCTCGTCTTTCGTATTGCCTTCTGGAATGTCGACGACAAATGACTCGATTACCATTGTGCCTGGTCTCCCGTCGATGACCTCCGGATGGACTGAGACTGTGGAAGAGTAGTTCTGCATAATTTGAGGCAGCAAAGGTAGCAGATAAGTAAAAGAGGCTTTGCTAGAGTCAAGTGCTACTTGCTGGTCCGAAAATAAGTCGAGAAATATCGTAATGAACCTATAGATGCTTGTAAGGCAAGAAATTTCTGACTGCGAACTACTTAAGAGGTCGTTGGGATGATAGATCTAGGTAATGGATCAAATCAATGAAAAGAGACTTCTGCATCAAAACCATTGTTTTCTGGAGCCAAAACACGAGCAAACTCCATAGACTTCAGAAATCCATGAAGGTACCTAATCTCGGGGTAACCTTCTACATGTGGGTTTCTGAAACCCATCACGACTAACAGTCTAATTTGCCATCATCCATTCATCTTCAAAGGTACTAGAGATGGTATTAATGACCCCTTACAAATATCTTCGCGAAAGTAGCATTCAACATACCAATGGCTAAAACTACAACGAATGATCCATCTGCTGGAAGTTAGGAACTATGCACTACTCCCTAATAATACCAATTTAAGTAACTAAGACTTATGATCTAACCATCAAAATCCCTTCACCCCACTGAAGATTAGGAATGATGAAAGAAGCAATGCACGAGGAAAAATGAATCCTAGGTATATCATAAATAGAGCAGCGATGTGGGATAAACAAAATGACTAGAAAAGCTCAAGAGAATTTCCTGAAAACCCCTAGCAACAAGCATCAAAGAAATAGGATAGAGGGTTAAAAATTGCGGTATCAAGTACCTTGAGTCTGTGATCTCCACCTACAATTCTCATGGCTAAGATATGCTCCTCGTCGTCGAGTTGCTCCAATCTCTCGGTGCTAGTCGTGGCGGGAAGCCCCGACTTCACATTCACTTCCCTTAGGCTTCCAATCCCAAGATCGCCCTGCACAATACACCTACTAACAAATGGCTTATACTTCTGCGGTTGATCAAATCTCCTCACCAATGACCACACCTGATACATTTTTTGCCAAAGCCAATACCCAAAAAATCATTTCAACACCGGCAGCAATAGCATATCAAACTCCAAAATGAATCGGAAACAAGATAAAACAAAGCATCAAGAAACAAATTGAATCGACGAGAGAAAAGCAATTTCGCCCCAACTCCAATTCGCCTAAACCCTAGCCCACTAGATCCAAACTATTCATCTTCCCTGCCCGAGCTCACTCAGTCGAGATGCGGGTTATTCATTCCAAAATAAAACTCGTCCGGGAAAAAAAAAACGGATCGAAACGTAACAATTCGAATCGGAAATATACAGCAGAAAGTCAAATCGAAGGACTCGAAAGGAAGTAAAGAAAAAAGACTGGTGGTAAAGGAAGGAGAAGGGCTGCTCACGAGATGGAGAGGAGCTTTGATGTGTTTAACGAGGGAGGAGCTACACTGATTGTCCTGAACTTGGTGGAGATGGTGTCTTCTGATGTACTCGTCCTCCATCCTGCTCAACGCATTGCCGTTGGGGACGACGAGGCAGTCGTCGTCAGTCACCATGGAGGCGGCGGCGGCGGCGGCGGACGGAGGAAGAAGATCGGAGGCGGAAACAGGGTGAGGAGAGAGAGAGAGGTTGAGGGGAATCGGAGGATGAGAGAGAGAGAGAGAGTGTGTCAACGGAAGCGTCCAGAACGCACCGCCATGGGGAGTAGCAGGACGAGCAGCTCGTCCAATAGCGAAAGGTCCAGAGCTTCTCATTCGGTTTTTCGCCCTTGGATTAATAATCATTAAATAAATAAAATAGTCGGAATAAATAAATGGCAAGTTGGCAAATGGACCTTTCTTTTTCTTTTTTGCGGTCTCCTTGCTTTGGGCCTCTCTCGCCTCGGCCTCTTTTTTATACCAGCCACAGATTCCATGAAAAGTTCTCCACAAGCTTGATAAATCACTCTGGGATGAATAAGCAAATACTTGGATGGTTTGGTTTTGGTGATAGTTAAATCGATGTATTATCATCAATACATGCATAATAATATGTATGTATATAAAAAAAATTGGTATATTGTAGTTTACATCGTTTGGTTTTTCTGATAATTATTGTAGTATTTAAATAAATTATATCACTTTTTAGGTGAGATGTCACTTTAACCCTTTGTTTTTAATATTAAAAAACAAGAGACAAAAAAAGGTAGGGACATATTTGGAAGAATAATAAAACACAACAATCTCCATCAAACAATCTCAACGAAAACTTGAGATTTGACTATCACTCATTTTGAGTGATAGTTTGTGTCAAATCAAGCAAACAATGCATGTATTGTTTGCGCAGAAAATAAATAAATAAACGATGCATTGTTGACATTGCATGCATTATAACTATCCCAACCAAACTATCACCAAAACCAAACGACCCCGAATGTGTAGATTGTACACACACGAAACTTGAAAATTTCTCCATCTAGGTGTCTACCGGATCACTACTCGGATCCTGATGTGTTGGGGAATTTCGGAGAGACAATATAGTTTCCGGAAGTTTGAGAACGTGTGCCTTCTGCGAGACTCTTTCCTCACAACTCACAAGCATGGTACCGGGAGGATGTTGGAACGTTCGATTAATGGAGATGGAAAGCTAGTTCGTGTTTGATTGGAGGGTGAGACGAGCCAAAAGTCAGATAAAAATATTGGAAGTTAGAATGCTTCGGTGAGGTTCGAAGCCAAGATTTGTTGGAGTGACTTGAACAAATCACGTAGATGGACAATTTGGTACGAAAAGCTCGATTCTCAATACCTCGCGTATCGACATAAACTTTTTGAGATGTGAGTTGAACCGAGTACTTTTAGTGGAAGAAATCTAACGCGATAAAATTACTGAGAATTTGTGCATATAAATTTTATAAAAAAAAAATGAAAAACAAAAGTAGTGCCCTTTCAATTATCACGGTTGAAAAGCCTTTAGGAAGGATTGATGACTGCGAGATGGAGCTAAGCTTGTGGCGGCAGTTGGGAAGTCGATTGGTTTCGCTTTCGCTACTGGTCAAACTTCCCAGGCCTTCGATCCAATCCTCTTCTCAAGTCTCCAGTCTCCACCTCCTAAAACTAGCAAAAATTAAAATCCTGCCATTATTCCAAATATAGAAACAATACTATCGCCTTCATAATTACTTCACATTAGTATATTTTTTGTGTGGACAAGCATATGGTATAACTTTGATTGTTCATATACTAATCATCTGTCATTTTCTGAGGCAAGAGTTGTGAGAGATTTTTTTTTTTATTTGTTGTTGATGAATGATTCAGTGGCAAGGGCAAAAAGTCGACCACACTTTGCAAAGGATTTTAAATTAATAGATAGTTAAGTCTTAATAATAGCGGTAATAATAATAAAAAATGGCGGTAAATTATGAACGATAGTGGTTCTAAGTTTTAGCAATATCGGTGAATTATGAATTGTAGTGAATACACAAAACAGGATAGGAAAAACTCAATAAGGTAATTATATCAACATTAAATATCAAGAGAAAATGACATGATAAATTGTAGTGAAATTGAACACATCAAATTAAGAAAGAATAAAGTGGAAAGAGGATCAGACCAATACTCAGCTCTCAAAGGAAAAAACTGATCAGGTTGAAATTTACATGAAGGGGT